GAAATACTTTGGCTTTTATATAAGAATATAGCCTAATTCCTATCTTTTAGCCTACTTTTTTATCTAATCTTAATCTAATTAAGACTTTATAGAATTATATTAAGAATATTATTAAGTAAAAAGACCCTAAAATTTATAGGTTTTATTTATAGCTTAGGGTAGCTATAATTAAAGCATGGAACTTAATTATAGAAAAGGAAATTAGAGCTTTAATTAGAATAATATATAATAGATATTAAGCTATAATTAATACTAATAAATAATATTAAGGTAAGTAATAATATAAACTATAATTTGAAACTATAGTTTAGATTTAGTAAACTAAACTAGTAAGAAAAGGCTTAAACTATAATCTAATTATAGTCTAATAACGGTTTAATATAGTTTAGTATAGTTTATATATAAATTTTATAGTTTATAAAAGGGTTTTTAAACTATGGCTTGGATATCCTATACTAAACTATATTGAGATATATCGAGGCTAGACTAAACCGCTAAACTATAGTTTAGACTAGACTAAAGTCAAACTATTACCTATACTAGATAATATACAAAATACTAAAGAGACTTTAGAATTGATTATTTTAATGCATATGTAAAGCAGCATTAGCACGTGATAATTACGCACTGACGCGGGAAACCCTCAGGGGTGCAATTATTTATCCTAAGACCAAGTAGTTCACGCTAGCAAGGGGGGTGTGGCTACACGCAAGCCTCTTGAAGCGTAATAAAGCGAGGTGAGGCTTGCGTATAGCCACACCCCCCTTGCTAGCGTGAACTATGTCTCGCCAGACAAAGGGATAGCCTCCTTAGTAATAACTCCTTTGTGAGTACAGGGGAGAAGCCCTAAAAAGATATGGCAGCCCTTGTCGAAGCCTAGACCTTTAGCGACTCTGCCCCTATAAGTACAGGGGATATGCCTTCTAAGAGTGTGGTATGGTAGTACTCCTTATTTAAAGTTTACAGCGTGCTTATAGGGAAGTAGCCTGGAAATATAGAGGGCTTTAGTGGGTGAGTGTAGTAGAAAGTGGCCTGAAAGTGAACTTGCAATACAAATACCCTATAATCCCGTCACTTTATGCCGCAATCTTTGTATACTCTTTAGAACTCCACAATATTATCTAGAACCACTCACTTTGAAGACACCCATTACAAAGAGATCTAATCACCCCCCTGTTCTTGGTTGAGATTATTTTGTCAACTTCATGAAGAATTCTTGGAGGGCTGGAGTGCGGGACGGCAACAGTATGTCCTTCACTGCGACCACTTGCTGGTGTCCAAGTAAGATTACATTTTCCAGCCTTTTAGGATTTTAAGAAACAATCTACCGTTTCCGCAAGTTCAGGGGGCTGTAGTCAAGGAAATTGTAAGTATTCCCAGTTTATCCGTAAACACACAGAAAATTTGAATATCATCTGTAAGAAATGTTTTTCACTGTAACCAGGATTTCATTCCATTGTTCAGCTCTTCAGAAATTATTGTATACTTGTGTCCGAGCAAACTTTGCCGAAGCTTCAAGAAGCTTCACAAAATCAACACCTTTCCTCCTTGCAAGCACCATAAAAGACAGCCACGTCGCCTCCTTCGCCTGCCCGAAAATTTGCGATTCATTACCTCGCTATTCAGAAATAAACTCAACTTCTTTTGCGTAAGACATTGGTTCTGGCGATTGAGCAGTGAAGACTTGCGACCTAAGCCATGATATCCCTGTGTCGCTGGATGAGATCTCTGATGGCTGGAGGCATTCAATTTGAGCTAATGATGCGTAATAAGGGGAGGTGTTTACGTCGAAGCCGCGAGAAACTTGAGTTTGGAGGATATCCTACACTTCCTCGGTGTTCAGAGAGTCTTTACAGTTCGATGGAGGAAGTCAACTTTGTATTGAAAAAAAAGGCTTTTTTCGAAGTCCACGTTTGTCTCAAGAAGGCCTTGGTCTACGCATTGAGGTATCTCTTCATTTATGTCCTATTCACTTGGAGTTATTTCATGTCTGGTTTTCTATCTTTGTACCAATGGCGTAATCTGGATTGTCTCTATCTCTTTTCAGGACCATGAGGGCGGAAATTGGGAGTGGACTCCGGCAGCATAAGCACATCTGAAGAATTTGTGCTGTCTCGCGGCGGCAGATCTCGTCGATATCTTCCAGCAAGTACATAAAGCATTTCATCAAATCGGAAGGGAGGAGATCAACTCTTCCCTGCAGTTCGGGAAGATCGTTGCCGTCTTCTCATCTGTTTAAGAGTAATTGGACAATGAGGTAGACCTGGAGAAATAAGCTTCGGCCTTGTTCAAATTTTTTTTTTGAATGAGACCCTCGTATTGCTGATTCTCTTTGGCGAGGGCTCTGAATTGAGGATCTTCGCCGCGTTTGTCATAGGCGTAGATTTGAATGTCATTTCGGGTAAGATCCTGAAGCATTAACTCTCTCTCTGTGTCCGTTCCAAACAGGCTCGGCAATGATTAGCGTTTTGCACTATCAATAATAATCGATGCCATAATCGTAAGGTATCGATTATATTAATAGTGCAATCGATTATTTAGCGAGCTAATCCCTATATACGTATGATTTTACCCCTTTTCTAATTCCAGAAGGTTTAGAAGTTTAGTAAAGTACTATACTATATATAATAAAGGAAAGGCTCTCTATTATTTACCTATTTAAAGAAAGTATCTAGAATTCTAGTCCTTTTCTAGTACTTAAGGCACTCCCGCATCTCAATTATCTCGGCTTCTAGCTGCCCCCTATCCCAGCTTACCATATGACGAGCCCCTAAAAAGACTCTCTCTGGTTTATCGCTTATTAGTACTATTAAGAGGATATTAATAGCCATACGAGAGAGCTTAGGCTAGTATTATCTTTGCATATCTTGGTACTACTATATAAGGGCCCCCTTTTTACCAGGATTATATGATTCCTCTATATTAAAGTCCATATACTCGTCCCTACTTACTGGCCTAGTAGCTAATTAAAGGGCTAAGGCAAGCCGATTATAAGTATCAAGTACTTCTGGCTCCTGAGAAGAGCTAGTAGTTAGAATAATTAAAGCTTATAGCCCCTTGTCCCAATACCTTTCCCAGAGCTTTTTTTACCCTTAGTAGAACTAGCTTTACCTACTTCTTTAGCCAGTGCGTTTTAATATATCTCGTATAGTATATAGGATTTAGAATTAAAGTAGTAATATAAATAGGAAATATATCTATTTTTATATAATACTTATTAAGTACTATATATATAATATTCAGGTATTAAAGGAAATCTTGGCTTTCTTTATTCTTTTTCTTTTTATACTTAGCCTATAAAAGTTAATTAAGTAAAGATAAGAAAAAAAGGAAAAAGAGAAAAAAAAAGAAATAAGCCTATAATTATTTCTTATAAGTATTTAATTAAAATATCTATTATAAAAAGTATAATATTAATAAATATAGAATCTTCCTCTATAGTAAAAATAGCTTGTAAGAAAGAACTAAGGAATTCCTTAATTATATAAAGCTTTTTCTAGTCTTAGTAACTTAAAAGATCTAGTTCTAGCTTTTCCTTATAGTCCTAGTAATACTTTTTTACTATAGGCCTCAAATTAAGAAGTATAAAAAGTATATTATACTAGCTATTCTATCTTATTTAATTATCTATTAGAATTAGCCTTTTCGCAAGAGCTTTAAAGGCTACTATATAGCCTAGTAATCTATAAATATAAATAATAATATTATATACTTGGCTAAATAATCCCAAAAGCCTAAACTTAGCCCTAATTACTTTCTTATCCGCAAGCTCTCTAGTTTCTTCCTGGCTATTATATAATTCAAGCTCTTCTACTCTAATTATATTTATAAATAGAAAGGCTTAGATAATAAGATTAATAATATAGCTAATATAGTAAACTCGCTATTTCTTTATATTCTATTCCCTATTATATGACTTTACTAAGAAGGCTTAAATATATTAATAAAGAATATTATTTAAGGAAGTATTATTAGTAATAATAGCCCTAAGCTTTTATATAATACTATAATTCTCAAGAATAGGGCAAAGAATAGAGAACTAGTTCTCTCTATTATAGCCAGGTACTTTCTAGAGAATAAGAAAAGCTTTTTCCCTCTTATAATTATATATAGTAAAGTATATATAAACTACTAGAAGAAGTAATTAATTTGGGAAGGTCCAAATATTAAGCAAAATATAGATAAGTAAGACTACTAATTAAAGGATCTTTTATATAATAATCTTATGCTTTTCCCAAGCTTCTTTAACTTTATTATAAACTCTAGAGTAAGAGATTATAATCTTGCCCTTGCAAGCTCGATTCAGGACTTAGTAAAAGATATGAAATTCCGGCTATTTAATAAAAATAAAAGACAGATTCTATATAATAATTAGGGAGATTAGAGCTTTAGTAATAACTACTATATTAAGGCAAGCTCCAAGAATCTTATTATTAAATTCCTTAATCCCATTTCCCTCCTTAGCTTAAGCTTTGTACCAGAGTTATTTAAGTTACTAGTTTATAGTAATTTGGCTCTTACTTTTAGCCTTTAATATCGTAATTTGGTAGTAGCGGCTCAAATAATCCCCTATATTTCTTAATATTCATATACCATATGGCTTAGTTTTATAAAGGATATAATAAAGAATATCTTGCTTAAGATTATCTAGAGTAGGAATACGACAAAATTCCTAATAAGATACTCTTAACTTTGATATATCTAGAGTACTTGGAGTGGAATTTACTAAAACTGATTACGTAAATAATGAATCTGGTTCAAGTAAAGAAGATATTTTGACGATATCTTTGGAAAAAATTAGTATGCGAGGCAGGGAAAATAGAGAGAAGAAGAGAGAGAGAGAGAAGAAAAAAATGGGAGAATGCGGGGTAAAAGCGGTAGAATAATTATTTAGTAATCGATTACCAATCGATTACAATCGATAGCTAATCAATAGTGCACACAATCGATTGCTAATTGATTACTCAGTAATCATTGCCGAGCCTGGTTCCAAACGCATTCTAGAATACATTCCATGTCCCACTTGAAAGACATATCTTGACAGGCTTAGAAGTTGTGGGCTTTTTGATGAGCTGGATTATCTCGAAAAGTTTCTCCACATACTCGTCGAGTCCGTCGATGAAAAGGCATATCTTGATTGGGCGAGCAGTGCTCGAGGGATACGGTATTCGCTTCGATAGGTAGCGCCTTTTGTTCAGCCAGTTTAATGGTCTGATAATTCCGTTGCTCGAATGCATTCAATAATCTTGGAAAGGTGCAGGTAGACGGAAGCCGGTAACTACGTTCTCCCGTCTCTTGAAAGACATCTATTATCAGTTCCAGACACTGCCTCGAAATCTGATATAACAGCGAATGCAGGAGCTCGAGTTGGGACATTTGCATATTGTTATTTCTCGTGCAGTTTAATTCGGCTCGTGGCATTTGTTGGTAATTTTGGACACACGCTCATGGGCACCGAATTCTGCAATAATTTCCCAGCTGGAGTGTGAATTCGCAAGAGCGGGAAGAAAATTTTGACGGGAGATAAAATGACCTCATTGTGAGGTAGATTCGACCCCAAATCATTGCTACGATAAGCTACAAGACTTAAAACACCAATCGCCACTCTCCTTCGCGAAACTAAAGATTCGTGTAAGTAGTTACCATCTGCTGAAGACCCCCTTGCTACCTGGAAGTCAATTCTCTTCCCTTGCCCCGAGTTAAGAATAGCTTCGTCCCGTCCCGCTGCCGCACTTCTTCCCCGGAAGCTTAAAATTGCAAACTATGCTCATGCGCAATGAAAGAAATCGATCGTGTGTGCCTGCGGATCCAATGGGCCCCCTATTAGCCCTGGCATCACAATGCACCATGCTGCAAGATCAAAGAACAACCCCCAGGCGCGGATGACTGTTTCCATATTTCTATTGGAGAGTGAGTTCGGTGTGTCCGAACTGTTTCAGCTTGTTGACACACTGGGGCGTGGCTGACGCCCCAATTCTTCAAATACGAGGCTTCTCCCGTGTCTTGGGGCGCCGCTGTGGGGGCTGTCAATGTTGTGGAACAGTGGAAAGAGGGGGAGGGGAGGCGCACCTACAGTGCAAATCATGCCACACTCAAAATCCGCAGAGCCTCGTAACTCCAACATGGAGCTGGCACCCCAAGTTCTCTTCTTCTCGATGTTCGAAATGCAAAATTTGTTAATATGTCAACATCAGATAAGGAGGACTTACCGTCCTTTCATCGACATGACAAGCCTATCGGACCTCTCCAACATCGTGCGCAGACATGGGACACTGGTGCAGCCCGAACACTTCGTGGTATCGCCCAAAAAAAGATTCGACTGAGGAAGAATACCTATAAGTACAAACCCATAGCTTACCACGAAGACATCCGAATTCTGAAGATCCTCCACGGAAAGGAAGGCTCAAATCTGGAGTGCATGCTATTCCCGAGCTCACTGCAGTCGACAAAGTCAACCTCGACGTCCAACTGCCACAGATACTGCGCCCTCTCCTACTGGTGGGGGGAAGACCTGCCGACACATCCAGTCGAAATGTACGATGATACAGGTGTGCGAGATGGGCTACAAACTATGACCCCGTTCAACTCGTCAGGAAAATTCTACATCAGGGACAACTTGGCAGCCGCGTTGAAGCAATTCCGAAAAGAGACTGAAGACATCAACGTCTGGGTGGATGCGTTGTGTATCAACCAAACCGACGTGGAGGAAAAGACAGCGCAGGTTGCAAGAATGGACGTCATATACAGCGAGGCCACTTATGTTTGCGCCTGGCTTGGAGCCGGCAAGCCTGAAAGCAAAGAGACTTTCGACTTCCTGAAGAACAAAGTATTGGACTTGCAGGAACTGGATAATCTTGTCAAGACAAGTAACCACGCGAGAAAATGGAGATTAGTCGTCAACCTAATGAAGAACCGCTGGTTCAGCAGAAGATGGGTGATTCAAGAGCTGGCACTGGCACGAATCGCGGTCGTTCGTTGGGGCTCGGAGGAGATTGAATGGTCGAACTTTGCAGACGCCATAGCATTGTTCATGACAAAACATGATGAGATTACCGAGATACTTGAGGGCAACCAGAAGACTTTTTCTGCTATGCAAGACCCGGACACCCACATCGGCGCTTTGGACCCTCGCGCCCTTGGCGCAAACACACTCGTCAACGCCTCGACCAACCTCTTTCGCAGATTACCCGATGGCACCATAAAGCAACGACTGGTCAACTTGGAGGTCTTGGTTACTGCTCTGTTCCTGGCCTTTGAGGCTTCCGAGCCCAAGGATACTATATACGCTGTGTTGTCCCTAGCCAAGGACACCATGATACGACCGAATTTGGCAAACCCCCCCAGCTGGGAAGTCGAATCCGTAGATGGATCCCCAGTCCCAACTCCTCCATTTCTCCAAAGAATCTTTAACTCCTGTCTTTCCTCTTGCTATTCTCTCTTCAGTCTATTTTGGGCAGCTTCTGGGGACGAAGATGTCGAAGACCCAGCCGAGCCCAGTCCTCAATTGGAGGATGTTGATCTAGATCACCATTTAAAGCCCATCGATCTACGAATAGTACCAGATTATGATAAAAGTCTCACCGACGTTTGTGCAGACTTTATGGAATACTGTATTGAAAGGTCTCAATCACTGGATATCTTGTGCCGTCATTGGGCCCCTCAACCAAGAAAGCCATCTCAACTTGAAGAGTTGAAGGGAACTCGTGCGGAAGAAGTTGAAAAAATGCCATCATGGATTCCATCGATCGAGGGTCATGCGTATGGCGGACCTTTGGATACGCTTCAGGGGAGGAAGAACGGTGATAGTCTTGTCGGCTGTGATGAAAGGCAGAATCACCAACATTACCAAGCTTCGGGCAACCTTCGTCCATGTATTGAGTTCGGAAGATGCAGGCCCGACGTCGAAACTTGCCAGGACGCCACTTTGCTTGAAAATTCAAATCTACCCAATATATCGGCTCGTCCAGAGGCATCTCTCAAATTTGATCGAACACCAAAACAGCCGGCTGCGTTACAGCTGCGCCCTAAGAAGTTCGACGGAACACTGCACGTCAAAGGATTCAAACTCGACACTATCAAGAGCATTTCGGGACGCGTCTCACGCGGGATCATACCAGCTGAGGCATTCGAATTTGGGGGTTGGCCAAAACTCGGCGCCGGCGACACATTTCCAGACAGGGTTCCTGACCAATTATGGAGAACTCTTGTTGCGGATCGTGGATTCGATGGCACTAATGCGCCCGCGTGGTACCGTCGTGCTTGTCTCGAGTGTATGACTCATGTCGACAACAATGGTGACCTTGATACAAACAAGTTCAAAGATATTGAGGATACTCCGGCCACTATGAAGCTGTTTCTAAAAAGAGTCAGGAATATTGTCTGGAACAGAAAATTCTTTCTAACAGCTAATGATAGAAAGAACCATGGAGAGCTTTATGGTATTGCTCCTCCAAAAGCAGCCATCAACGATATCATTTGCATCCTCTTCGGCTGCAGTGTACCTGTTGTGCTTCGGAAAGTGGAGAAGGAGGATCGGCATATTGTCGTTGGAGAATGTTATGTTAATGGGATGATGGATGGGGAGTCACTTCGTGTGAAGATGCCCGACCACCCATACTTAAAGGTCACTGGCTTTACCTTAATCTGATAGTCATCGAAGAATTGAGGGAAACGATTTTAGTTTAACACACTTCCGCTATAGCCAGTGACCTCACGAGTAGTGGTGCCCAGCTCAACTTGGCGTACAGTCATTGATAAGCTCCGACTCGCCATTAAGCGAATTTGAGTCACTGTAGAATGAAAGGCTAGTGATCATTAACGGCATTGTGGAGGAGAGGATGGGCTGGAAATGGTTGGCCACCACGTCCCTCTTCCGAACATCACAGTGAAATTTCGGACAATAATAACTCAGAATCGTGAATGCTCAAAATACGCACGTCTGACGCATTTCGTATCTATTTTTTCCGTACTAGGGTTTCTACTAAGGACGGTTTATGAGAAATCAATCAGGTGACTTACATCCCGTGCAAAAGAAACCTCTGGGAAATCAAGAAAGGCAGTGCAAAATGGGAAGGGTTGCGGCCCTCTTTGCCGCCAATCCTTGTTCATGGATAGGGTTACACAGCTAACATCAGATTGTTTCCCATTCTTCGCTTACCGAAACCGCTCACCGAAATCGAGTCGAAAGGATTGGCCGCAAACGCAAATAGCAGGCTTAACTTCAAGCCCAATTTAGGTATGAGCATCTGATTTACCTTGCCCAACGTAAGGCTTGCGCCTGTCATTTAGTCCCTCAGGAAAGGCTGAAGGAAAGCAGGGCGGCAAAAAATGACTTTGCGTGTCACCACACCACTCCGTGCCCCCAACATGAGGCGGCCAAAATGGGGCGACGCAAACCACCCGCCCGGCTGGGCTTCCCAAGATTGGTGATGACCCGCAGCCACCGCAATATGCCGCCTCACACCGAAAATACGCACCGAATCGGAGAGCTTCAATTGGTCCAATTACGGCGGCTACTGCACACATTCTTGCCCTGTGGCGAGGCTGGACTGCTCACAATCCCACTCTTTACCACACCATCTCCCGGACCAAGATCAGCCGACTCTCGGAAGTCAAGACATAGACTCTGGTGAGTTGAATATACGTGGAAGAGAGACGCATTCGAAACGCGTAACTCCTTTTACCGAGATATCTGTGCGCCCAACAAAGACATCGAAAGGGGCTAACCTGCATCCACTTCCCAACCCAGCAGGGAAAGATACAGTACCAGGCAAGATGGCCTCATATATTCAGCTCCACACGGAACTCGACACCCGCGATTGCAATCCGACTCCACAGCAGCGAGCGGTGTACAGTTACCACGAAGAGATCCACAGCGACGCGGCAGACGACATCTATTCATTCGAATGGTTTGAACGCACAAAATTATTCTTCAAACAGTTTGGGAGACCTGAAAAACGAGTAACGACACTCAGAACTTGGGAAATGGTTGAGGAGCTCGACTTTGGGGCCTTTTTTCTAGCGCACCCTGTGGCTGCTTATTCGCTTTGGCATTTACTTCAGGCTTGCTATGATCTGGATCGTGTTGTCTGTGGATGTTCGCAGGAGGAACTCGCTAAACGGAAGGCAATGAAACCATTTGTGTATTTGCGAGCGAAAAGGATCCGGATACAGTGGGTTAAGTCGCTCAAACATCTGAAGGAAAAGATTGAATGCGGGACTCTTGAGGGGGATGAGTTGGTTCGGACGCTCTATGATATACTTTGCGGGGTGGAAAGACTTGTCGCCTCTTCAACTGCCTTGAAAGAGAATTTCGCGGTCAATCTTAAAGATATGATATTCGTAGATAAGATGCTGCAGAAGGTTACGACTTTCGTTGACGACAGATGCGGCATGATAGCCGCTCACTTGAAGCTCGAAGAGAGCCAGGAGACTTCGAGACAAGAAAATGAAAGCTCAAGTGATGAGGCTTTAGGTAAAGACCCGGAAACTTTCACAGAGAGGAATCTGACTGGAACTAGATGACTCAATGTCGAATCTGCAAAATATATCAGAGATCAAATTTCCTACCATTCCACCAAAACCAGCAAATGGTTCACGGAAGAGGCCAAAGAGACAGCCTACGTTTCCAAAACCTAAGGGAAATGAAATCTCAATGAAGTCTCATAGCAATCCAGGTATATTCTTCCGAAGCCTCTATATATAAGTTATCAAAACCTAATTGGACTTAGCAGCAACTAAACCAGCGCAAAAGTACAACTCGCTCTATAGTTTGATCGAGTTACTTATGTATGCTTCTTTGTTTACCGCTTTTGGGCTGGCTATATATACCGTACTGCCTCTCCTACAGTCCCATGGTTTTCTCACGCCTAATCTAATCACTCCTGGCGGTCTTTTGTTGTAGGATTATGTATCATTTCTAGAGAGGGGTTGCCGCTACTGGCGGAATGTAATTGTACCAAAATACAGGGTTCGTACGCAATGTAAACGGCGTGCTTCAGTGTTCGATGGGCTTCATAATCGAGTCTATTGACGCCCGTGTCGGCGTTGGAGGCACACTTTGTCTGTGAATACAGACTAGTGAGTGATTTTACTGCTTAAAAGATTTGTTCTACTCTTCTTAATGATGGAGTGTTTCGAGCGCTTTCACTTGCTATTCAGAACCCCGATTCTCGTAGTCTAGGCAACAAGAGCTGAATTATAAGTATCCCTGGATATGCTGAAACGTCTCGCAAAAGCGGGTATCGCAAAGTTATTAATCTTGCCATGCAGATTACTGTTGTGAAGGTAACACTAAGAAACGCAGGCCATCAATTATGTATCACATCAGCTATTGAACGTTCTCCAACCCGACTACGCATCTTATACTCGATTATCGGGCAAACAAGATTTCCAAACATAAATTAGTATTAATTTAGCTTCTCCCGCTCGCTCACTCTCACTCACAAATCCTTCTGCGACCAAAGTCTCACATTCCCGCTCTTCCATGTACTGGTCGGATCAATAATACTCGACTCAAAAATCCTGACAACTCGAAGAACATCTTATTCGACTCCATCCACGCGATGTTCTATCCCAAGCACTGATACTTCCCATGTCCAAACACCAGATCAATCGTCATCTCCATACTCGCCAACTACTCGCCAACTTCTCACCTTAGCCTCCAGCCACCTCTCCAGTCGAAATAACTCAGAATAATAGCCGAACACATCTCTGTTTGGATGGACGCTCGGTGCTGACTCGAGCGCAACTTTTGCATGTCAGATTGCTCAAATATATGGAAAGGAAAGGTATGAATTCCGCGGTCCCCAGCATGGCGATTCAACGTATATCGAGAAGGCCAAGGGGTACCTTCCACAGGTCAGCAACTCGGGACCTTGGAGTAGGAGGAGGCATTGGTTGAAGGATTACGGGATTTTATATTACGGTAGCTTGATATCTGGTATGGAATACACCAAAGTGGAAAAGTAGGGTGGTGGATTAGAATCATGAATTAGCTCTCCGTTGATGTAAAAGGAAGATCTCTTTTATTCTTTTGTTTGATAGCCATCGCCAATTATTGTTTGTAAATCCCATGAAAGAAGGTTCTATTCGATTCAAGATCCATAATATACAAGTCCATATAGCGGAGTTCACGTGAAAAAGGCAATCATATTATTAGGTTTAGATCAATGTCGGTTACTCGGTGTTGCAACAATATATAGTACAAAACACTTTCATTGCATTCATTTCCTTGAAATTTAGATAAGAATGGTAATTCCAAGGAACAGAACAAACTACAATATTTCACGCACTCCCTGAAAAAGTCTTCGTGTCCTTACGCACCCAGCTCAGTTAACAAGCCCCTGTCCTCCAGCAATAATTCCTCGCTGACGAATTGCCAAACCTGGTGACGGCAAGCAGGATGCATTGTCTGGGGCATCGGTTTCTCTTCCCATATCCTGTTAGTGTATCTACTCCCAGAAGCAAGGTCTGCAGCCGCCGCTGCATTTGTAATTGCAAGGCTTCCTTGCTGAGGATCAATGCCATAATATCTTAGTAACACCCTAAGACTCCATTCCAGCCAGGACATAAATCTCGTTTTCGGTGGTCTGGTATTCTGTTGTGTGGTGTTCTCCGATGTGGTGCTCTGTGGTGCAACCCATATGTTTGTCTTGACATAGCCCGGGTGGACGCCTTGGATCATGATGTGCTTGTACTTGGCATGATTCTCCATTCGAGCCTGTAGCTCCGTTAACCACGTTTGGAAGTACAACTTGTTATTCGGATATGCATTTCTTCCAGAATTTGCGTTTGCCAAGTCGAAAACACCAAAGTATTGCATGCATGACGTTGTACAGATAATACGCGGCTGCGTAGCCTGTGCCAAGGATGGAAGTAACATCATGCTGAGGAGAACGTGAGAAATGAAGTTCACCTAGAGAATAATTAAATGCCGCGATGTCAACGAGGGTGGATATAAACTTACTTGGTGAACAATCTCGAACCCATCTGCCGTATAGCAAACCTCGCCTGGCACCAGTGGTCCGCCAATACCGGCATTGTTGGCCAAGATATCCAGGGGCCGACCCATGGAAATCCAACGTTTGCCAAAAGCCTCTACGCTTTTCAAACTGTTCATATCACATTCCCACCATTCTATTCCTGCTTTTGGGTGACCAGCAGCTATTGAAGCGGCTTTGAGCTGTTGTATTGCCTCATCCGGATGCATTTCGTGTGGTGGTACCTGCGGTCGACACCCAAGAACGATATTGGCACCCCATTTCACAAATTGAGCCGCGGCTTCGAAGCCAATACCACTGTTGCCTCCTGTAAGAAGAACCCATTTGTTTCGCAAATCCGCCTCCGGAGGTTTCAAATGACGAGGATTTGTGCCTTTCAAAGCCTGCCACCTGCACCACCATTGAGACGGCACGGGGATGGGGGGGATTGCTTGCTGAACCGTAGCAACGTTGATGTTAGAGGCTGCCATTTGTATGGATGCACCGAATGTTGGAAAACTAAATTTGGAATGGGATATCACATTTCGATGCTATGAAGTCATGCCTATATGATTCACGAAAGTCTGGCAAGATCCCCACAGAGTAACGGTCGCCACTGTCAGCGAGACGACGCGGCCTCAAGGCTGCAAGCCTCGGCACGATAAGAGCCCCTGGGGTAATGATTGCCCCTAGCCGATTTTAGCTACTTTTGCTTGCGGGCCTGGTGCCTTCGGCTCAGCAACATCCCGACCCGCAAGTCGAGGATCAAATTGAACCAGTCGGAGTGCGGAAACGAGCTGGCTCTCCGATTGAATCAATTCTACTACTTAGGCCGAGGTCTTCAGTATCCAATTGAATAGTCATATTTACCCCTCTACGCCTCCAAGTTGTGGGTGTGCTACTGGTATCAATCTCGCAGAAGGATATGAGACGTGAAAATCGATCTTTACTGTACTTCAAAATAGTAGAATGGTTGTGCTGAGGCGTGCTCAGTGAAACTCACAATCTTACAAAGATAAAACGCATTAATAATTCGTGCAACTTTTGCAATGTGACTAAAGTAGAATGACCTAAATTCCACACGACTACCACCTACTAGGCGTGAGCATAGAAAAATTCCAAATAAACTCCAGTGCCGCCATCCCCTCAACATGCAACTTGGCGTCATAAACGTCACTTATATAGCGTGCTTCCAGGGGAGTAACCTGGAAATATAGGGGGCTTTAGTGGGTGAGTATAGTAGAAAGTAGCCTGAAAGTGAACTTGCGGTACAGTACAGTACAAATGACCCTAGATTCAGGATTGATTTTTTATTTCGCTGGTTCCGTTTTAGCCTGTGGACCTGAGTAGCGGCCGCTTTAACCTGAGCACGGCCTGGGCAACGCCTAGCAAAGCCTGAGAATACATTGATGTGCTATTTTGGCTCCCTTGCGACCGGGATCCTTCCGCAATGGTTTTTTCTTTCTGCATTTCGCGTATTCCATTTCCTAAACATCCATAAGTTCAAATATCTTATAATAACAGACCTTCATAGCATTCAGTTGAATTATTTTTTACTGGGATCTTTTACTTGCATCTGCGGCTGCTGAATGCAAAGACTGAAACGAACGGTGCACCTTCTGCATATACTGGCCGAGGAACTCTGGCAATTGGTGACGGACCATGGGACGAACTCGCAGTTCTGCACGCGAGGAACACCAAAAGTCTAGCACTCGCCATTGTGCAAAGACATCCAGATGCATGGTTTGAACCTCATATACTAGTGGAAAGCGATGCGCAAATACGTAATTAAATTCTGCCATTGTATGCGAGTTGCACTTGCATTTTGAGTTTATCTTCAAATTTTTGTGATGCTGGAGCTTTAGAGGTGAGCAGATTGGAAGTAACTGCAATGGCGGCGATGAGTTCCTCGAGGACTTCGATTAGATGCGGGAGTGTGGAGAGATATTTTGTGGTATCGTCGATCAATTTTCTCTCTCTCCCGTCGAATTCGGTTAGTGAGCTTGACGGTCTTGCTCAGGGGAAAATGTAAAACGACACCCCCCCGGGTGTCGATTATACGAATCAGTGGATTTTAGAGTTTTAATAATGCCTAATTAGTTGCTTGTACTTACTTAAGTCCTTCTCTCGAATCAGATTTCCTAATATAGGTATAAGGAAGTTTGTATATAAGAGCTCTAACTTGGGGCGTAGAACAGGCGAGGCGATAATTGTGCGCGAGGTAAATTAGTTCCAGGTGCTTGATCGCTAAATTTTCAGGCTCTCATAGTGCCTTAAAAATTCCGACTTTCCTTACCTTCTTTAATTTTTCTTAAATCTACTAATTATTATATAATAAAAACTTCATATTCTATTAGCTTATAATCTGGCTTTCTATAATATAAAAAAATAATTAAATTATAATAATTCTTTGTATAGTAAATTAAACTTAAAGGAAAACTAGATTTTTTGGTGTTCCTCTCTACTTTAGGTTAGTCCGGCCCCCAATCGACACCCCGAGGGGGGGGTCGTTTTACATTTTCCCAGATCATCGGGCCGGGTGTCATCTCGATGTTGACAACTCAAATGCTTGATCTATCAATTTCATCGGCTTCGGCTGTTCACTCCATTCCTTCTAGTCTGTCATCAGCATGGCTTCAACACATCTTCCTGCAAACCCCATAGCAGTTGTTGACAGAGACGATGATGGGCGAGCCTTTGAAGATGATCTTGAATTGAGCCTCGTTCCAGTGTACAGATACGAACCACTACCACAGAAAAATTCAATCCGACTTCTCCAGCTCAAACCTGGGGAGGGACAGAATCCATTGGAGTGCAACATCAGCACGCACGATCTGGACGCTCCAACCCTCCCTTCCTATTACGCCGTGTCCTATACCTGGGGCTCTTCTATCTATGATTGTCTGGTGATTGCTAGCCGCAGGATTCCTCCGGACGACGAGCTCCACTCTCGATACTCAGTCCGCCATCCCTTATGGTGCGAAAAACGCCGTTTTCTCATATCTACCAACCTCAGGAATGCGCTCCGGCGCTTCCGCGACCTCCTGAACCCCATCACCTTGTGGATCGATGCCATTTGTATTAACCAGGAGGATATTCATGAACGCGCCTCACAGGTTCTTCTCATGAAGACAATCTACTACAACGCACAGTATGTTTGGTTATGGCTCGGAGAGCAATTGGACGGTTCCAGTTCCGCCCTTGAACTTCTCTCACAACTTGCCAGAAAGGGGGAAAGTGCGCAATTCAATGAGGACAGCCTGCCCTCCATGGATGATTTTGAAGATGCCGATGTTTGCGAAGAACTGGGGATCCCCGATCGGTACTCTCCACATTGGAAATCTGTGGTTAAACTGTTTGATAGACCAGTTTTTCAGAGAATATGGATTATTCAGGAAGTTGTGGCTGCTCGAGAGACTCTCGTGTTTTGTGGATCGGCTGAACCAACTACGTTGGCTGACATATTTTGGGGCGCTTTTTTCCTCAGACGCTCGGGACTAGGGAGTTTAATTGACAGTGAGCATGGATCTGGAAAGAACCGCATGCACTACCTCCTAGCATTGTGCGAGTACCAACACAAATGGACTCTGCATAGTCCGGATTTGCGCTGGTCGCTGATATCAACAACACGGCGGTGTCAGGCTTCAGATCCGAGGGACAAAATATTCGCCGTCATTGGCCTCTTCAGAGACTTCGGCAGGGAATTCTCTCTTTCTGAAACGGCCTCGGAGTCTGATATCACAAATGGAATTGACATTCCTAGTCGGAATATCGATCAGGAAGCTATTCGCTCGCTTTGGACCAGTCCAAATCCCAAAATGCGTGAACTGCATCGCCTGATCTCGGATCTACTGGATCTCGATGCAGTGGTGCTAACCGCGATTTTGAAGAAAGGCAAGATCAACGATTCTGATCTGCAACAGTATCGCGAGTCCCGAGGCGTCATGGCACTTAACATATTTGGGAGCCTAGTACACCAGGTAGTTCTGACTCGAGAATGGAAACAGGTAGCCATATTTTACACCAGACTCCTCTATATCCTTACAATTTTTGCCGACTCATGGGGCGATCTCTTTTTGGAAACGAGGACAGATGGTCGAGTTTCAGAGCTCGATCTCTATCGGGACTTTTTCGAAAAGATTTGCCTCCCGGCTTCCTTAGATAACCCAATCATTAACGATAAGCTAGCGGAGATCGTTGGGGATTCCAAGCTAACGGTCACAATCTGCAAATATCTGACCGCCTCGCGGATGCTATTCAACTCGATGATAGCATTGTCCTTCGGATGTTTTCTAAATCTCTGCAAAGGCCTTTGCCATGGAGCATCTATGGTCTGACGGCGCCGGACTACTCAAAGACTGTCGAAGAAGTCTACATGGAATTCACCTTGTGCTGTATTAAGGAAGACAAGAACATGGATATGCTATCCATGGTAGAAGACAGAAGTATGAGGGAATTCCATAAGCTTCCGTCCTGGGTGCCTGACTACAGCGTCGATCTGTACTATCATCTGCTCCGAGATACTATCGATGGCGTTGATTATGCAGCCTCGTCCTCGACAAGCTCAGATTTTAGGTGGTCGAGTGATGTTCCTCAACTCCTCCATGTCAACGGACATCAGATTGACCACATATGTGATATCACTAGTGTAGAATCTGCAAGTCTCCTCCGCAGCACCCAACCCTCAGAGTGGAAGTCGTTTGTGGCAAACTCAGGATCAACGTACTTGAATGACGAACCGATCGATGATGTCTTATGGCTCACTCTTATTGGTGGTTGCTTGGACGAAAAGAAGTGCAATGCAATGCGCGAGTCTTTCGATGCTTTTACCATCGTCGGAGGGGTATTAGAGGAGGGTCCGCAGAGCCCTCAAGAAATAACCGATATTCTAGAACGAGAGCCTATCGACTGTGAGGAGTTCTGGCAATATACCCAGAATCAAGAAGCCTTCCACAAGGAGATACGCCACTCGAGGAGGCTTTTTTGGACCAAGAAGGGATTTCTAGGCGTAGGTCCAATGTCTGCAAAGGTTGGGGATATGGTCTGTATTTTCAAAGGTGGACGGGTGCCGTATATCATTCGAAAAATCCCACATGAGAGCAGCTATTTCAATTTTATAGGCGACTGTTACATTCATGCTCTAATGGATGGGGAAGCTATGGATTTCGGAGACCTCAGTTGGAATCAGATTGGATTACTATAGTAAGGCTTTTCTTTACAAACAAAGTATTGCCCATCAGAGAGGAATTTCCGGAGGCAACTTCTTTCCATGTGGTTCGCGAGGTATTGTTTTGGACTAGTATTAGGTCAGTGGAGTTCGCAAAGGTTGGTAGCTCAAAAAAGATTTTTAATGGTGCAGTATACTACGTGGCATATGTCAACCCTAGGCAAAGGGCTAAAGCCAACGCCACATTGTCAACGGTATCATATACCCTCAAAAAACGTGAGCAGAACAATCAATTTTCGGAGATAGTCATTTGACTAACTTGGTCCTATAGATGACTTGGGTTGAGGTAAGCTTCTTCACTTACCAAAGGGTCTTCGCCCTCAATTATTCCTGATTTCAAAAGAGTTCCACCTTGGAAAAAGAGCTAGCTTCAAAATATTTATTACATTACCGTTTAAATAGGCCCCGAAGTCCTCCTGCCTGCCAGAAAAGTTGATTCTTGCGATGACCTGTTGGGTTGGGAGTCATGGAACGACATGGAGCCAGATTGCTGACCCAACATGCTAACACAAACACTGAACAGGATCTGTTCGCGAAACTCAAAATCAATACAAAGCCATGGCCTAGGCCATACCGAGATGGCGGAATCCCTCGCATCGCAAGTACATGTTTACATCCTTGGGGAGTGATATTGCTGACTCTGTGTCAGAGATGGATGAGCCCTGGAGCTTCAATCCTGGCGAGTATGGACGATACCGGGGACAAGGGCGAAGATAAAAGATACAAAATATTGGCAATTCTGGTATGTCTTTCGTGGTATTCTACCGCCAGCCCTCGAGCCGGGCGACATAACCACCCTCCTTTGCCCCTCTTCCCGCTTCGAGGCCATCTTCCCTCTTGGAGTCTCGCGCGCCGCCACCTCTAGAATCACTAGACTTCGCCGCCGAAACAATTTACACCCCTGGTGTTAGGGTTTAAGCTAGGTCGCATCAGTGTCGAGGTGCAAGGCGAGGTCGTGAATCCCAACCAGAAGAGTGGGGACAATGCTGAGCAACTCCCTCAGTCTTAGGATGGAATCTATATATAGCTGGTTAAGTCTGGATTCAAGGCGTTCTCATCCACGTGAAGATGGGTGGACTCCATCGTTTTTTGCCTCGGGGACACCGGTCCGTGTCGTACTCATTTAGCCTAGATACTAGCTTTCCTAAGTTTCTTTCGCATTTCAGTTTGGTCCTAAATCCTTCCTAGCTATATAGTGTTATTTAAAGTATCCGCAGCTACCTCTCTCCCCATAGCGGGGGTTCCTGCCTCCGTGAACCGGACACTGCTACACGGTCAGCTTCCCTAGTACCTGGATATAGGTGCTTCCTTTCATGCCATGTTGATGCAACTGCGGCCCACTTGTCCTGAGCCCTGACCTTGCCTTCGGCAAAATAACAAGAACCAACTAGTACCGAGGCCGAGAATCATCATTAGTGGAATGCCGGGACCTAGTCCAACTTTGGCAGCAGTTCCTATGCCTTCACTACCGCTGAATGACTGTCTTCCAGAAGTCGTTGCAGATACCTTTGTGATTGTAGATGAAGAGTTAGAGAGGGTGGAAGAAGTGGGGAGGGTGGAAAGTCTTGAGCAACTTGAGAAACTTGCCAAAGTTGTCGCAAGAACCTGCCGCTAGGGGGGGTTGAGACATTAGAGGGGCAGGCTGACGAAGAAGATATATTCTTATATGACTAGAAAATTGGAGGGGTTTACGTACCTACTCGTGACTTAATACTCGTTTTAAGGAATATACTCTCTATTTTGTTTTAATATGCGATTTATATTTTAATAAATAGAAAAGTATATTTATATTAAGGCAAGGACGCACATATTATCTCCTTCCTCATTGGATCCCAAACCCTCATTAATACTGCTGAAGTGCTCGTCCCCAGCAGTCCCTTTATCCCATGTAGCCATGAATCCCTGGAGATAATCCCCAGTAACCTCGAAATATCCGGTGCGCCGGTAAGTTGCCATCTTTACAGGCTCAATCACCAGTCCACAGACCGTTTCTTTGCCCTCCCAATTAGTGCCGCGAAGAAGAGCCAAAAGCTGAAGTTCGTCATTAATGGAATATGGCGTGGTGTCAGGACATATCTCAGCTCTAAATTGACGACTGCCGGAGCTGATATTAACCTTCTGACGCTCGTATTGCGTCATCAGAGTAGCAATACGAGGAACACGACATTTCATGCGTATTGTTCCGCCCATAACATCGCCAAAGGGGTCATTTGACACTGCCGTGTTAGCTTCAAGAATCGAGACCTGTGGGATAAAACCGGGCAATATATCAACGTCGCATTTCATAAGGACCACCGTATTAATAGATGCCCACGACCACGACGGAATAGAGCTTTCGGTGGTGTCTCCGGAGGGCTTCACAGTACTCCAAGCTAGTTGTTTGACCAAGTCTTCTTTCCACATCCCAGCTAGATAGGTTGTTCCAAATCGAGCAGCAAATAGACGTGCCACACCAGAGAGCGCTATAAGTCTGTCTCTTTCAAAGGTAACAACCTTACCAGAATAGTTGTTCACAATTTGGGACCATTTGTCCGAAATATCTCCCGTCGGATCGTTCCACCTCTTGCCGCTTGCCACTGATGGCCTTGTAATCGCTCCATAGTTATAAGAATCCGGAAATGTTTCGCATGCCATTGACGATATGCACTCCCAAAATAATTCATGAGCTGTGAAAGATAACGTCCTTGGAGCGAGAAAGATTTCTTGGTATACCCAAGCTCGAGAGTTAAGGGCGTTCTCGTTCTCTGAACCAACCAACACTGAGCAGTCCCACGCAGTCGTGTGAGATGAATCTCGCCTTGTGCGCATCGCTACTTTGCAGCCATGCATCTGGTCCAGCCGTCTAGTTGAAAAGCATCCCAAATCGCCGTTTGGTGCAGCCGCGGCTGCGATGTTAAGTGCTGAGTTTGTATAGACAGCGCCCATCCTGGATGATTCACGTTGCCAGTCAGGCTCATCGCCCTGTATTATACATAATGAATCAATCCACAAATATTTGAATCCGAGGCTCCGAGTAACCACAATCGCATCTTTAAATGTCTTGCTGAGATCCCTAGTTAGGATCTGGGTGAGAAACTCTTGAAAGTTGCTTCGTGTAAGCATAGTAAACACTTTCCCACCCCAGCAATGGCTCAAAGTTAAATACTGTGTGTCTCGAGGCAGAGACTCCGTTAGACAAAGCTTGAGATCCATGTCGCTAGTGCCGACATCTATAAGGCGTGTAGGGAGTTGTCGACTGGAAGAGTCCTGCGAACACTTGGGGTGGGTATCTTGACAGACCCTCAGCCATTTTCTAACAAGATTCCAATTTGCCTCGCAATCCGCCCTGCTTTGGATTTTTCCGACCTTTGTGCTATTGCCGACTTTCAAAGTGTTACCGAGTGGGGTCGACTAGTAAAGGCATTGAACTTACCTGAGGGGTAAGCATTAATTGCCACTTCCCAAGCTGGACTGGTTCCGGGATGAAACAGAACCCTTATTAGATAAAGGTCCGGAATCTCAACCAGCGCCAATGCAATATGGACCAAGCTCCTACGATTGCGATCCTCCTGCATCAGTTGCTGAATAGCCTCGCCATCCAATCCACGCAACAGCAGGACGCAAACAGGACAACCTTTGCTAGCTGAACGCTGGAGTCTCACGATATTGTGATGCTGACGTCCAGGCCTAGTTGATGACATGTATAACACTCTCCAGTTTGTCCGGTCATCTCGGTCCCACCAGTTATCAAAGATAGCCTTGCATTTGGAGCAGAGTCGTGAACGGCTCCTTTCAATCCGCGTTTTCATGGCCTTGAGGCCTACACGTAAAGCTTGCATTTCATCAACAGCCTAGGTAAAGTCACTTGGTGCCACACGAGAACCAAATCGTGGAAGGAAAGCAGGAGGCAATTTCCGCGAGGTAGCAGCGCTGCTGGGCAGCTGAAGTCTTGACGTGGAGCACACGTGGTTCCGATGGGGAATTGGGGACCTCTGCAATGGGGTTTCTCTCCTGTCGACGGAGTGATAATCAAACACTCGTCTGTTCTTGTCGCGCATTTCGCACAATCGCCGGAGTTGTTGGAAGGAGGGCGAGATCACAGTAGGATGCATGTCCGTGCAGCTTCTCGCTCGAGGCTCGCTTGGCAAAACGCGAAATCGGAGTTTCACGATCCACCCCTGCCAAAAATCGCCCGTAGCCAAAATACCTCTCTCTATTTGCGTGCACCACCCCTGTAACCATCTCTCAAAAAATTGGTCCCATTATTATCGCAATTATCTATCGATCGGTTATCGAGCCTATCGGAGCCCACACTGCGTAGGACCAGCGATATTCTTGACAGGGCTGAATTGGGATGGGCAGGACTGTGCATCGTCCTCTGCCCCCGCCATATCTACGTTGATACTTGGCATTGCATCTTTCGTTGCATTTTTCCTTTGGGAAACGTTCGGGGAAAAGTGTCCTATGTTCCCATCCAGACTCGCTGATAATTTAAACCTCTTCGCCGCCATTTATATGCTGTGCCTCGCCTTTGGCATCAACTACATCCCAGTAAGATAGAAACTATAGCGTTTATTTAAGCCGTTATTTAAAAGATGAGCAAAGTAAAGAAAGAAAATAAGACAAAAGTTCTTATATAATGAAGCTAGTAAACGATAGCTTATAAGGGCTTGTAATACTTATAAAGAATAAAAGCTCTTATAAATTATAAAGCTAATAAATAAATATCTTATAAAGACTTTATAATACTTATAAATATTATTAGCTATATAAGCTAATAAAGAATATTTGGGCCCCGAGTATTTTAAAGTAATAGGGGAATTTTAAATAAATATATATTATTAAAACTTTAAATAATAATATATTAAGCTATTATAAATTCAGTTATAAATATTACTAATATTACTATATTACTTGCGCTATATTTATAATTATATATAATATTATATAACTAAATACTTAATTATATTTTAATTTATTAAGTCTTTAATTATTATATTAGGTTTATTATTATACCGAGTACTTAAAGCTTAGCCTAAAACTTTAGCTAAAACTAACTTATAATAACTTTAAAATAATAGTTATTATATTAGTTTATTATATTTATCGGCCCGTTATACTTATTATAAATTATGCAAAGAAACTAATTACATATTTATAATAGTTAAAAAGCTAGTATATAGCTAGTATATTACCTATAAGATCTTTAAAGTACTTTTCTTTAATATTTTCTCTTTTTAATATCTTTACTTCTTGTATATTATTTATATTACAAATTACTTATAATTAATATTTATTATTTCTACTTTTATTTATTTAAAGCAGTTTTATTATTATTTATATTTATAACTTGTAAGTCTTTCATTACTTTCTATATTTGAATACATTCTAGTAATATAATAAATATTATTAAAAAGCTAAATGTAGTTTCTTATATTATAGGCCGAGATGCATTTCTCAAAATTATTTTTGGTCTCTATATACCTCTATATCGGTATAGCAAATGCTAGCGTATTAGCAAAGCGGAAGACTTGTGGTGCTTCAGCTGATGCCGTGGCCTGTATGTACAAAGCGTCATGTACCGTCGGTGCTGCGAGCTGCCATGGCCATTTCCTCTGGCAAACTTGTTATTGTTGGGGGGGGACAGTGTCGTGTGGGGGATGTTAGGGGACTATCACAGAGTAACTAGGTCAAAGGGAGAATTACTATACTACGAGTTGTGATATAGCTAGGCAGCCGCAGGCACGTACGGGGCACAAGTGGCAGGTGCCTGCCTTAGCAGGGTTAACTTGTTCTATTAACCAGATATTTCAAACGCAAGAAATGATCCGAGATGTTTTTAATAACTCCACATTCCTCTTCCCTCACTATCTTTGCCTTCCAACCTCAAGGCGCAGTCCATCTGCAGCCGGCAAGTGACCAAGAACGCCTACGTACACTTCGCCATCCCGGCACTCGAGGCAGGCATCGTCTCGACGCTCGGAGCTAGCCCGCTCAGCCATTATATGCATCGGTTTCCACAGATCGACACGCCTGAAAAACTGGCAAGTATCGTGCAGGCCGGACACGAAACGTATAAGCACTGCTTTTCCATTCTCTATCTAATCTCGATTGCGTTTGGGAGCGCGGCTATTATCGTATTGGTGTTTCTTAAGGACTTTGAGAGGTATATGAATGATCATGTTGCGGGTATATTGCGAGAAATAAATGACGGCGTTCTTTTTCATGTGCGCCGATGGAATGAACTAAGAATACATTATAATATACAAGTTGGAATTTCTCTATTGGTAACATGTTGAAGTCCCAATACACAACTTCTTATAAGTGAGTGTTGGGGAAATTTGCAAAGAAGGGCGAGGAAAATGATACCCGTGAGAAATTCCTCTTGCTCTTACTTATTTCTCTCACGGCTACCGTAGAGAGATACGGTAAACCATTTAGGAAGCACTAGCTGTCAATATCTCGGATGATGCTTGCTGACTTGGCAGCCGGCAGACAAACATTAGGCTCAAAGCCCTGACTATCTTCTTTCAGTGCATCATCCACTTTATCACAGCCTACTCAAGGCCTGAATTCTTCATTCCTTCGACCTTAGATGTGAATCAAAATCTTGGCACCCTTTCGCAACATCCGGGCAAAGAAAACCGTCGCGTTCCCAAGACCACTTCTGAGATTCCACAGCATGTAGCTGTTTCCCGTTTCGTCAAAACCAACGTTCAAATTGCTGGGAGAGCAAACGTGCCTGAGCACCAGACTAGACCTGATTCCTGGCCATGTCGCGCTTCGGCCAGCTTCGCTACTCGTACTACCCCCCCACCCCCCCCTTTGAATACTTACAGTGGGTCCTTTAGTAACGCCACCCTGAAACCTCGTTTATAACCCCCAACTAGGAAATATCAGGTGCTCTCCAGAATCGCTATTGGCCATACACCCTTGAGTTGGTCGGTGCAGGAGTGGTGTTATCCCAGGACCCGCTGTAAGTATTCAAGGGGGGGGGATAGTAGTTATCGCCGAGACATATCCGTGTTGCCTATAGCAGAGAGGTCACTAAAATCAAGTCCTCTTCACTCAAGGATTGTCTAAATATTAGAGAACTCAACACATCCCAAACAACGTACATCCGCGTCCGAGTCGCTTTCTATCTCCTAGCTGCGCCTTACTCATCGGGAACAAAGACAGGACAAGCAGGATGCTTCTAGTTCAGACCGAATTCATCGCTTTATCTAGCTACTCCAACAGAAAGCATAGCAGCAAGACTGAAACATAAGCCAAGTTCTCTCATGGAGCCGGAGAGTCTGGTCATGTGACTATACCCTCTGTCATGTGACTATACCGTCGTACTTAAAACAACTCGATCTGAAATGGCTAGTGGCGAAAAAAAAACTTTAAATGTATTGCAAGGAAAGCATACTGGTATAGAAGGTCTGGCATTAGCTAATCTGAGGGTATGCTTTGCGGCGTTGGCTACTACAAGCACGTGACGTGACGGAATCGGGTTTTCCAACGGCTTTCTCTGGGATCCAGGTAGGGATGGTCAGACTTGTAATATATAATTTATATCATAACACCGATTGGCGTAATTATGTAATAACGGTCTCGCCGTTATTATGATTTATGAAATCAAGTATAATTTACGCATAAGTTAGGCATAAATTAAGCAAATTTGGGCGTCTCTGTTCGTTAAGGGCAGGGTACCCAAGTACCCATTCTCCCTTACGAGCTAGCCTTTCCATAATAGGTTAGCGTGTAAAAATAATGTCAAAACGCATTTTCTCGGTTATATTACATTATTATATAACGACTGTCCAAATTATAATTCTTACATCCCTAGATCCAGGAACCCGGAGAAAAGAGATGACGAGCAAACGAAGAAAAGATCAGCCACTTGCCTTTAAAGCCGCACAGTCCGGACTTCTCCAAGGAAACACTCCGCGAAAGCTTGCAGAGCCCCTGAAATTGACGAGTGGATGAGCAGGACTGGGGCGGCACGCTGAGAGAAGGCTGAAACTCCACAGACCATGGCTCTGAGCAGCTTGGAACAACTGAGATGTCTCTTCTTGAGACTCCAACACCTACACTTGCACCGTCCAGCCCCAACATATCTGAGGTCTTGGTGCAAGAGTGAAGCCTCTCACCTCGACGTTTCACAATCAGCCCTCGGCCTCGGAACGTAAGAGACGAACTCCTGGGCCTCCCCACGTGCAGCGCTAAGCCCTTTTCCTCCACGGCTCGTCAATCTCCTGCATTCCGCAAACGCCGATTGGCGCTCGCTTGTGCGTGCGCCGTGCGGTGACGTGCGGCAGCGCAGCGCAGCGCAGCGCAGCGTAATTCAGGTCCGTGCCTGTGCGCGCCATCACATCGCGGTGTTTGCTTTGCTGACGGGCGCAGGGAGCAAGTGCGGGCCAAGGTCCGGCCCACCCAATCGTGAGCTCATCCCCTCTGGCTCCCTCAGCTGAGCTCCAGTCCCCCCTCCCCCTTCAAATTCCCTCCCCTCGTCTTTCATCCCATCTGCATCAACACCACACACGCGCATACACCGCACACACCGCACCTACCCACCTACCTCCGGCCTTCACTTCGCCCGTTCGTTGCGATCGAGATACAGAGAAGACACAATGTCGACGAGAAAGAGAAAGCAGGACGAGGAGCTCGTTGCGCTGCCGAGCGACGAGAGCGAGGAGGAAGAGGAGTGCGTACATCTGCCTTACCCCTCCCATCACCCTCGCACCGCAGCGCATCAGCAAGGCTTCAATTGTCATCTCCGCAGCTCCAGAGCCCGTCGCAGCGCTTCAATGCGTCGTGTTGCTGATGCTGCTGCCTCTTTGCGCCCGGAACGGCTGCCTTCCAGCTAGTCAGTGTAGCTGAGCTGCCTGGCGATTCCAACCACAGGGACCACCGCGGAGTGTCAGAGCTGACAAGCGTGTTTGTGCAGGTACGAGGACTCTGATGTCGAGGAGATCCTTGATGAGGATGATGAGAGCGAGGAGGAAGATGGGAGTAGTGAGGAGATCGAGGAAGAAGGTATGCTATGCGGGATTTTATTTTTGCCCCCCTGTTTTCGCGCCTTCAACGCCAATTATACACTCTGGAGTTGGGAGCATCCAACTGATAGCAAGCAGAAGTCCCTCCCGCTAAGAAGCGCAAGACTGAGCAGCCTGCTGCCGTCCAAAAGCTTCCTGTCGCCAAAGTCGCATCTAACGGCAAAGATACCAAAGCCGCTCCAGCCGCCAAAGCTCCAGCCGCCAAAGACGTTTTAGATGACGAGGAGGAAGATTTTGATGAGGAGGAAGAGGACGAGGAGGAAGACGATGGAGCGCTGCCTGTTAAAATGGCAAAGGCTGCTAAAGGCCGTGTCGAAGCGCTGGACGATTTCGGGGAAGACGATGAAATCAGCGCAGTGGAAGACGATGAGGACTGATCGTACGGTCCTCAAAACAGTGCATGGTGCAACGACAAACACGGGTCTCGGGATGGAAAAGGATAAGGCGCGGAGGGATATTTGCTGGATAATAAATGGAAGGACTGGGAAGGAAGGAAAAGAGGGGAACAGGGGAGGAACATCTTCTCCATCTCACTGATCTGGCATTGGCACTGTAGACGTGGCTCTCTCCGGTTTCGCTCCTGTGATTTTTGCTTTTTAGATCTCCTATGCAGTCCGCCTCTCCCCATTAGTGCTCTAGTACTCTTATCAATAAAAGTTTCTGTCCTCCTCGTCCGTTATTCAGCACTTTTCTCAATCCATCCTCACCTTCGCTTTGCCTTCCCCAAAACGGTACCCGGCCATCCCAAAGCGGGTGCGGCTGAGGGCCGGCCCCTTCGTTCTAGAATGGCGTTTGGTCTGGAGGGCGAGGCTGATGGGTTTCGTGTCTCAGATCGGGGCAACCTGAGACGTGTGACTGGGTCCTTCGTGTCTTGGCAGGGTCCCCCCCAAACAAAAAGTTCAATGCGGGTATCTCGGAGTCAGCTCGTCACATCTCCCAGCCCTTTCTTTCCTGACTCTCTTTCTCTCTCTCTCTCTCTCTCTCTCTCTTTCCCTTGCCCAACTTTCCTTTCCTACCTTTGATTGAATTGGCTATTTGATTCACCTGTCGTTACGTTCAAGCAATTTCGGAGAGGGAGTCTCTCTGGGCAATCGCTTTGGGTAAAGAGTTAGAGTTTGCCAGCGACGAAGCGAAGCGAAGTGGAGCAGTTCTCATTCTACTTGATACCTGGGAAATTTCCTTGCGACGTTCCCTGCGACGATCACGATCTTTCCACGCATACATACATACTCTCGCTTTTCGTATCCTTTCAACAATGGTTTCTCTCACCATGTCCATGTTCGCATCGCGGCCACAATCCAGCAACAATCTCGAGACGGCGGAGACGGAGAAGGCAGCGAATATGGACCGGCGCTTCTCGTTGCTATTTACCGGCAGTACCTCCGCTCAGCCTCTGCTTACGGTCCCACCAGCTGCGCAAGAGGCTGCGCAGCAGCAAAAAGACGACGTACCCCCACCAGAAAGAAAAACTTCCCCTTCCAATGCATCGGCGAGTTCACAAGATATACCAACGAGAATAAAGATGGACCGCCGATTCTCGACACTCCTTTCCCTTCCCGCGCTGTCGACCCCTCCACAATCTCAACATGGCGAGAAGGAGCTCGCCCTGTCTACGAAATCGTCAAAGAGAACCATACACTCTCTCCTCCGCCGAGTTTTCTCCCTCAGCTCCACTCCCACTTCCACGCCCTTGTCCAGACCCGCCACATCCGGAGAAGCAATCCCAATACCAACACCAGAAGACCTCGGGTCCCGTCTCTGGGCCGATCTACTCGACTCCTCTCCCTCCTTGGCTTCATCCTCACCACCTACAAGATCCAACACACAGACCGTGCAACGCTCACACACCGTCATCGTGCCCGCGCCAGCCAGCTCCTTGAAACTGCAATCTCGATCACGGTTCTCGCAGGCCTTGAGAGGAGGTAGTGGGAAGAAAAAGAATGGAGGGAATGAGAATCGGGAGCCTGAGGTGGTGGGGATATTGCAGAGCAGAGAAAGGAGGGAGGGGAAGCAGTTTGGTGGCAGGAGGGCGGATAGCAAGTTCAGCTCCATCACCTCGCTGCCCTCCTTACGATCTCTGGCATTGCCTACTCGGGATTGCTCCAGCAGCAATGGAACAATCACCGTCTCGGCGACCTCGCTCATTCTCCTTGAAGGCTGTGTGAGGAGAGTAAGGAGGGGGTTAAAGCACCAAGGTATATCCCTCCATCTCCCCGCCGTTTCCGGAACCACGAAAAATGAACCCCGAAATCAAACTGACCCGTTACAGAATACCTAACCAGCCATCTGTCCAATAATCTGGTGTTTCTGTTCGGCAGGAAGGAGACGCAGATCGGCATGCTGAAGAGACTTCGAAGCGAGGAAAAGACCTCCCTGACTTCCGCACTCTTCCGAATCAAAGAATCAACCGGCCGCACCTTCCTCCGGAAAGCCGTCTTCCTGCAACGCTCGCAAGAACTCGTCGCCCAACTCTCCGCCCTCCTCTCGAGATCCAAACCCGGCCCATCAGAAGACCCAGAACCAGAAACAGGAGCGGAATCAAGCATGGTCGAGGTAGAGGACAATATCTTCGATTTGCTGGCACTGCTGAGAGAGGATCTCAAGACGCAGCGCGAACTCGATCGCCATCTGCACGACACGTTGCTCGAAGCGGCGCGGGAGAAGAAGTGGGCCGGGAGTGCCGGGGAGAGGAGTCTGATGCGGAAGTTTGTTGGCTTTGTCGAGGGGAGGATGGGTGCTTTGGGCGTGGCTTATGGGAGGCTTGAGGGGCTGGTGGGGAGGATGGAGGGTGTTGAGAGGGGTGTTTAATGGGTAAGGGATTGGATGGTGCTAATAGGGGGGGGGGGGGAAGGGGAACGGGGGGAATGGATTGCATTTCAGGCGTTTTTTGATGTTGGAGCGAGCGAATCATAGAGCGAGCGTGTTTGGTTAATGCATGGTGTTTGGAGTTTTCTCAGGAAGCGAGCTTCGTCCTTTTCTGGCTAGGGATTTGGGGATAGATACCTGCATTCAGCAATGATTACGATTCGAGACGCCTCGTCCTGCTGTTTTTTCCGTCTTTGACTTTCGTCCCTCAGTTGCTCCTAAGTGGGGATTACAAATACCTTTCCAACAACCTCCAACCTCCTTCGAAAAGCACCTCCGATCTAGAGCTTCGGCACTGCGAAGTCCGAGTCAGCCTTTCTCGAGACTCGAAGGAATACCCAGGGTGCAGGGGGCGGGGCGGGGCGCATGGATGGTGCGGATGCAGCTCGATGGATGTGCGGCCGCAGGCGGCTGCGATGAGCAACAGAACAGAACTGCGATTACCACATCCTCCCTCCCGTCATCAAAGGCTTCTTACATAAGGAGCAGACTCACTTGCTATTCGGCAAGCCAGATTCCCGGGTCGTGGGGGCGGAGAGCGGCCGTTGTATAGGGCTGAGTATTCTTGTTTACTAGTAGGGGTATTGCAACGCTGTCGGCTGGTACTGGAGTCGACGTCTATTAATAGTCCGTCCTGCGCGATCCTAAGAACTTCGACTCGTCAGCGGAGTGTATCCTTGAGTGCTGGCTTGAAGAAAGCCCGTTTCGTGACTGGTTGGAGACGAGTCTGCAGGTTAGTAGTGGTCCGAGGGGTGTTTGGGGAGGAGGTGGGTATGGTTCTTTTACCCATGACTTTCCATGTTTTGCAATTTTGAGGGGGGGAGAAGAGTGTTGTTAATATTTTGTTGAAGCCGGTGTAGCTGGATATGCAGATGGTTCTCGTGAAAGTGTTTCGGTCGTATGATATGGTTTGGTTCAATGGTGATGAGGGGTCCGAGAGAGATAGTAAGGGGTAGAAGAGAAGCGGGATTTGAGGGCCGCGCTGAAGGATGTCAAAGGGAATTGGAGTTTGAATGTTTTGTGTGTATAAAGACATTTTCCTAAGAAAAGAGAAGGAGAGCGAGGTAATATATTTGCGGGCTGTCTTCTCGGGACATCACATGATCTACCACGTGACCAGAGGCCCAAACTCCACCACCACAGTACTTATATATATAAAGTTAAGTAAAGCAAGTAGAAAATGAATACTAGCTATCAATTCTATTATAGTAAGGTAATAGCTAAATGAGGCTAGAATAATCTTTATTTTTGTGCCATAACGCGTCGCCTTCTCTATAGTCACGTGTAACACCACGTGACCAAGTATTCAATTATAATTTAATCACTAGGGTTCTGACTTAATATAATTTAATACCGGTCGATAATTATAATTAATTAAATTATTTGATATACTAGAACTTGCATTCTGGAACATGCGATATTTCTTTAAGCTAGTAGCTAATTTATAATATTACTTAAGTTAATTACTATTATTAATTAGCGAGAATAATAATATATAAACACCTGTCTTTGTTTATATCCTCCTCCCAATAACTTGCCAGGCACTCACTAGGCATATTTCTAGTATATACCTAACCTTTATTATTAAGAAGCATATAAGAAAGTTAGAATGCTTTGCTATTGCTATTGCCCTAGTATATGCTAACCCTAACCCGTAGGGCCTTTACGCTTTAATATATCTCAATGCGGGGTGCTCTCACTGCCCCCCCAACCCTCCGGGACTCACCCGGACCCTAAGACCCCTCGCAAGCTCGGGACTCATCCGAAACTTCCTAGCCCGGATATATGCAGAGTACAAGGGGAGCATATACGAAGCATATACGAAGCATATGCATAAAATATGGCTGCCACAAAACCTATTCATTTGCTCGGCTAGCTGTCTCGCTTCTTTAAGCAATAATAGTGATTAGCAAATAAACCGACATATGCAAAGTTTGGTGATAGTGATCGGCTTGAGCGGTACTATGGATCAACTAAAACCTCCATTCCTCCACTGATGCGGTCTTCCGAAAGACACTTCAGCATTCCTCGTCCACCCTCTTAATATCGAAACTTCCTTTCATTTGTTTTGGTCGATCTTCAAAAACGTCATTATCTGCTATCATGGGTTGCTTCCCTAGTATTCATCGTTTGCGGACCCGGAATCCGCCATCTCTCACCAGAGACGAAAGCTCGTCAAAACCATTCGATTCCGATTCCCACTCCGGCAATTCTCACTCCTCGCCAGAATCCTCATTCGGACTCAAATCGCCAACTATTTCAATTGAGCTGCCGTCTCCCTCCAAATCAAGTTCTGGCGGACCCGCGGAATCTATCAAAGCCGAGAAAAAACCACTTGATCTCCCCGTCAACGAAATGAAGGAGAAAATGGCGGCATTGACCTCTTCCATTCAAGATTACGAAGCCGAGACAACAGAGCACGGAGAAAGATCGATCTCAGATCTGGACGCCATCCTCGACATCATCTCAGAGAATAGTTTGGTGTATACGCAGCTCGAAATTTTGAGGTCGCACATCAACTCTTCATATAAGGAAAAACAAATTGTTTTCCTTGCCCATTTCCAACCCGCAATTGAAGAGCTTCATGCACGATGGAAAGATTTTCTGAGGCTCGGTGAAGCGGAGCAGCGCGAGATGGCACACACGCAACGTCGGGACTCATGTTTGATGCGAATGTTCACCATCTTGAGCAACTTAAGGAGAGCGTGCGATAATCAACGAGATTCAGATATCAAGATTGAGCGAAAGATAGGGTCGCAATTTGACGATGTATTGGGGGGTCTCGTGGATATAGGAGCTCAAGAAGCCGCTTTGAAATGGAGAATCCTAGAGATGGTGATTGGGAAGAGAAGAGGGGAGGGAGAAGCAAGGCTGGACGGAATCTTGGGGTACGGCATAAAAGTTAGTGGGTTGCTTGTGGACGCCATTGAGGCATTGAGTGAAGAAGAGGAGTGAATGGCAAGAGGTATTTGGTTTTGCTTCAGGGAACAGGTGGCAGCAATAGTGGTCGGAAATGCTCGTCACATCAAGGTGACAAAGAACACGAAAAGGGTGTCAGAGTATTCACCCATCGCACGCTCGATCAGCCACTCCATTATCTATTTCGCCGAACCTGCTGGGCAGTGGGCATAACGATCGCGATTACGGAACCCTTCCTCAGACATATGGACATTAGCAGCATCAAGTTCGTCCAAAGATCATTATTTGCATGTGAATCCCGTTTTTTCTATCAGCGGAATCTCTAGACAAGGGCCGCTTTTATGTGGTCGGATTAAGCTTTCGAAGATGGCGCCCGTTGTGGATCTACCGCTCAACCCCCAAGTTCCCCACGCCATCCCCAGCTTGCGGGTCTATCCCCGGTCTACTTCGACTGCATTGAAGAAAAAAAACTCCATTTCTTTTGAGCAGAACTCAGCAAAATTCCACGCTTTTTTCATGCGCATTTTCCAGCGACTCCAAAGACGGGATTCTGCTGTTTAATTTGGGAGCTAAGGAACCAAAACCTTGGTTTGTTCTAGCCGGAACCTAATAACCTATAATGAGTCACTTAGTCGATATCAAAATGACCTTCCCTCTTTCGAATTCTGGCTGGTGTGCTTCAGTGAGCATGATTCGAAACCCAGTCGCTTCCACAAGTCTCCTTTCCCGGATCACCTGCCGTCATTTGGTGATGGCATCAAGCCACAACCGCTCCTTCCTTCGGTGGAGTTTCAGCACAGTCGTGCTATGACGCTTCCTGCACTTATAATTTGTTAAGTTGCAGGTGCGAACCTTTGCAATAAGACCATAGAAGAGTAATGTAAGCGGTGGAAGATATCAGTGAATGATTTGCCAAACTGCAGAGATTTATCAAAAGAGCCGAGTCTGCACTCACTAAGGTTTATATCTTCAAAAGTCCGTCGGTAAGCTAATTGCCATTGCATCCCGCTACACTTTGATTTAGATTCCGTGCCCCCATAACCTGCCTCAGTTCTTGGGACCGAATCTTGCCCGGTCTCAATCCGCCTCTCTCGTCAGTCCGTTTCCAACCCTCGCTACCCTTCACTTCTTACCTTCGCGCTGTCTAGTGTGCGGCACTATGTCATGGATCAGCTCAATGGGCAGTCCAGATTACATCGGGTCTCTGCACCCCTTTTTATTTTATTTACATTTCCCGCATCCTGAGGTTTCCTCCCTCTCTCACCTCACAACACAACGATACAGATTTTTAACCTTCCACGAACGAACTCACCCATCCCTCGAGCACCACCGCATAAAGAAAGAACAAGGGAGATCATATTTAAAGCTAGGCAAACTTGAAAAGCCACACCTCCACTATCCTGGACTCTCCGCTTATCCCGTCAATAATCGCGTTACGCGAAATTTATATTTCATTTCCTGTCCGATTGGACGGCAATAGATATTCATCTGCACTGTCGCTCGATATTTGGGCAGCCCGCCTCTGTTACGGGCAATCTACAACATCGTTGCATCGTCCAGACGACACACCAACCACCAACCCGACCCCCAAATAGAAGGAATCATGCTTCGAGCAAGTCGCCAGCGAAAAGCTGCACGTCGTGCCGCATCCCCAGAACCACCGCTTATGACCGTGCAAGAGCAAAAAGACAAGAGAACTGAGATCCTAGATCAAATTATGCGTGATCAATGGGTAGATCGCCCCTGGGACCAGCCTCTGAGCAGTTTAGCCCTTCACGTCATCAGGTCTAGAGGATATGCCCGCCAAGAGTATATTGAGCAACAGATTGCTGATTTACACAAATCCATCAGAATAAATCATTCTAACCAGCTTGTGGCAGCTGAGCGCGAGAAGCAGCAAAAGTCACTGCTGGGAACGGGATGCATGATCTTCAAACAATTCGGCATTAAATACATGGCGGACAAATACTGCGAACTGAATATGCTCCAAAGGTGGTGGAAGTTCCGGTTCGAAGAACTTGACTTACGTTTTGCCAAGAAGGAAATTCCTGAGGCTACGTACGTGAAGGCGGCACACGATTTGTATGCGACGATGGTCGAATTTCTCAACACTTACTGGGATAAATTGCTGGAAGAAAGAGTCAATCTCGAATATAACAAGTGGCATTCGTCAGTCGGACAATCTTTCCGAGAGGAAAAGATCCCTAAAGACCAACTTGGTAGAGAGAAGGTCTTCATCCTCGAGGATGGCGAGTGGGTCTTTGACCTTCCCGAGAACTCTCCTACAAAAGTTGTTAAATGCACCATGGACATGATGGACAATTGGTGCCAAGTACCAATGAGCAAGACAGTGGATGGAGCCAGTATGACCACAGAATGGATAAGGGATGCATGCAAAAAAAGCAGCAAAATATTTGGCTTGACACCGGAACACAGAGGGGAGGCATCCCCTCCAGAGCCCACCGCCAACCGCAATGACAACGATAGCCACACTGAAGGAGGGGATTCTCTCCCAGAATCAGAAGGTGAGGAGACCCCGGATGAATTCGAATTCGAAGAACAAGATCCCATTCTCGTCGGCCCTCCAGAGAACGGCGATCGTCTCCGGCCGGCAGAACCAACTCGACCAAGAAAGAACGACGAACGACTCGCTCCTCTGCCCAACGACGAACCATGGCTCAAGGAATGGAAAGATATGTCAGAAGCTCAGCGGAAGAGTATGAAGGAGCTTCATTTTGGACCTAATAACAAGTACTACCGACCGCGTCCACATTGGAATGCTGTGCTGGGCAATGATCCTCCTCCAGACGACAAGTCAGACAATGGTCAAGGCCCAGAACCAGCAGGTCAAAATGAGCATTCTACTAACAATAATTGGCGAGTCGATTCTGCAGCTCCACCGATTAATGGCTTAAATTCCTCAGAGGGTGCAGAGCCAACTGATTCAACGGAGTCGACTACTAGCCAGGAGTCAGCAAATGGTGCTTCTACTGCTCAAACAGCAAAGGAAGGTGGTCAGCCAATGCAGAAAACGGGCTCTGATGCTCCACTAATGATTCCTGCCAACGGAAACGGTAGCGATGATGGTTCGAATCCTCCAAAAAAGAATGGCAGTCTGCCCAAAGGAGAGTGCGCTGGTCCCAGCCGACCCAAAAAGAAAGCCACTCAACCCAAAAGACAGCATGATGAGCAAGGAAACGCTAAGGATGCTAGTGATGATGAAATGCTGAGCGATGTAGGCGATAGGTTTGATGCGGATGCTGAGAACCGTGTCATGAATCGCGAAACCGGAGCTCTTGTTCAAAGCTCACAACCTGCCCCAGCTCCTACTCGGGCTCCTAGAATACAAGAGGATACCATCTTTTCGGCTCCCATGTCGCCAGAGCCACAACGTGTACCCCGACCACCAACTCATTCTCAAACCGGAAGAATAACGAATGGACGCCGAGGTGGCTTCAGTGACGATCCTACCGTTCTCAGGCGCCAAAATCCATCGTTTAACACTGGTGGTCCTTGGGATATCAACAGAGCTGGCTTCAGCATGCCAGCCAATTTGCCTCCTGGAGCAGGGATAGCTATGAGGCCACCACCGAACCCTGACCCGTTGTCGGAGATTCAAGTTCCTAGACGACCTGACATCGGGAGACGTCCAGACAATATGAATGCGTGGCAAAATAGCCTTGAAGGGGGACGAGAAGGAGTTCGAGCCAGAAGTAAGACGCGAGAGAGGGAGAGGACTGCTTCGGAAATGCCTGATCCTTCTGGAATAGGGTTTATGTCTGGGAGCAATGGACCAACTATGCAGGTACAATCAATGCCCAATGTTTCTGCTAACCAGGCTCAACCGGTATCCAACCCTCAAAGTCAGAATGTGCCAATATTGCAGGGACAACCACCCCAGGCTGGTTACTCTCATCCCACAACAAACTCTGGTGCTACATCACGAGCCGGAGCGAATGGAAATCTGCGTGGGGATATTCTCTATGTCCCGAATGGTGACGGTACATTGAGAGAGACAGCGCCACCCCGAGGAGTAAAGCGTCCAAGAACCACTTCGCAAGACGTCGACTCACATCGACGCCCGCCTGCCCGAGGATATGGTGGGATCCCTATGTCGCAGTTGAGAAGTCATCCTGGGTACAACGGAATGCCACAATACCCCCAATACCCACAACAAACACAACAACAAGGACCGTACAGTGGCATAAACGGTGGTCGAGCTCAAATGCATGGCAACCTGTCTCAAAGATATCAACATCCTGGCAATCCTGGTTTTGCGAATGACTTTCAAAATCCGCAGAGTATGCAAGATGGTCGTTCTATGACTGGTCACAATGGATTTGCATATGGTGGTATGGGAGTTTCTCAAATGCCTTCACCTGCACTCTGGAATGGCCATTCGAACATGCAAAGCTATCAGCCGAGTCCGTTCTCTAGCCAAGCATCGTCGCAGAGTCCCTTTAACCAACAGTACGGTGGAGCTATCCCCGCTCCAAACCCTTATCTCTCCAATGAGAACCGCTGGGTTGACGCCTTCAACGTACCGAATGGACAAGTACAAACATTCCCAGATGCGAACCGACCCATGGCCCATCAGGGACTTGCTCAAAGGAGGCCAGATTATCAGATTGGGGACGAAAGAATGATGAGATCTACGAACAATCCCCGAAACAACGTGCACCAGTACAACATGCAATGGCCTCGAATTCATCAAGGCAGTAGCCGTTGGCGGTCTCAGGATAGTCTACATCCGTTTCAAATACCTCCTCAAAACATGGGCCAAATGAACCCGAGAATGGCAGGACAATCAAATTCCATAGTTGGGAATCCTACTCACCCGAATGGAGTCTTGTCGCTCAGAACAGAGCCAACGTCTCAAGATATGAGTCAAACTCCGGTTCCGAATGGTCTTCGCCCTCATTATGGAGCCCGGAACACTACTCTCAATCCTCCCCAAGCTAATGGAACATTCATCAGGCAAGTTCAGAATGCTGCGAGCCATCGACCAGCGTCTGCTGTTCCAAACGGCCGACAACTCAACGGAACATCTGCAGGTCATAATCAGAGTGGTGCTCGTCCTCATTCTACATCTGCCGCTTTGAGCAATGGCCAACCCAATGGATCACAAGCGACTCCTTCAGGATTCTCGAGCACGAATGAAGGGCAAGCCAATGCTCCAGCTCCTCCAAAAAGTCGAGGAAGACCTCCAAAGGACCCTGCAAAGAAAAGTCAAACTCAAAGACCACTTCAAGCGCCAGCGCAGCCTCAGCCTGCACCTCCGCCCCCTGGGTCTCCTAGATTGGATTCAGTTGACGGGTTTCGCAGAGAGCAATCTATGTATTACCAACCACAACCAATTCAGGGAACCAATGGATTTCTGGATGGCAGGCCATTGGCTGTCCAAAATCCCGAGCTCTGGCGGCGAACGCACCCAGTTCAGCGACCGGCTTCCGGCCCGGCTCTGACGTATACTCCAGCAATGCCTGGCCCTAGACGTCGACCGTTAGATGTTATGTTGCCATCTATGGGGTCAGAAGGAGAAGAGGAAGTATCTCGTCCGCCACCACAGCCAACGCCTGCTGAACGAGACCCTTCTCCACCACCACCACCATCGCAATATGTAAACGGCGTAAACCTCGACGCCTTCTTCAACGAAATAATCCACGGTCTCTTCTCTGACGGTGAAGACGAGAATGGGAACAAGTAAAACTGAGTCACGGGGCCCTTGAACACAGCAATTAAATGAACCAGATGTTCCACAACGATAGCCCCTGAAAAAGGAGAAAATAATACGACGAAAAATTTATGGGAAGAAAAAAGACCAAAAAATGGGTTAACGACAAAAGTTACAGATACCGTACTCGCGGATTAAAACGATCATCATTACACTTTGAATTTTTACCACATGCATACCAATAGCCCTTTAAAACCTTAGCGGCATAACATTGAGCCCTTTGGGTCTACACATACCCTGTTTACATAACCAACTCCGGGGGATGGTAGTATTGTGTTACTTGTTATCGTGGCATTACTTGGCGCTCTTCCGGTACCACCCCGTCGTTCGGAGTTATGTAGTATCCAATTGTATTTTATGTAGTCGGCTGCTGTTTACGTTCTCTCTGAATGTGAATATTTGACAACCGAAGAATAGAATACCAGAACTCAGGAGGCCTTAGCTTTCTTCGTTCCCGCTCTTTCTCCGTTGCAGATATAAGAGATCACTCAAGAATTGAGGAGCATTCGGGTAGGTTTCAATTGAAACCAGGCATTTCCTTCGCACAAACAAAACATTCATACCCAGCCTGTCATATTAAAATTCAAGGCCAGTGTTTATTTAGATAAGATGTGAATTGTCTGGGCCTTTTATTGCCCATTGGGCTGATGTCTGAAGTCGGTCCAGATCCGGTAGGGTATGTTTAGAATTTGAGAGTGTTAAATCAAATCCAAGTAAGCTCGATGCAAGTTTTGAACCTTGACTGCTTCTTGCTGCCATAGTATAAACTTATAGATCTGTGTTGGTTGAGCCCACCAGCAGGGGAATTGTTGGAAATAGAGGTGTCACGAGATTGCGGTTGGGGATTTGCACGTGATAGGTCTCGTTTAATAAGCGAGCCCCTTTTCTCTGGAAGTTCAGGTGAAATGGGGGGAGATATTTTCTTGTCTAGGGTGAGGGATCAAACCCTTTTTTGTCTTGTGTATTTGGCCACAACTCGCGTCGAAAGCAAGTGTACGTGCAAAAATCTGGGTCAGTTGTTTTCTCATCTGGATCTAAGTGCTTTCCGTAAACACGAACCTCTATAAAGGGGTTCTCAAACCTTACAAAGTGTTATCCCCTTCCCACTTGTTGGTCGCCGCTTGGAGCGATTCTAATTTGTAGCTCTCCAAGTTGCTGATTCACCAAAAGTGCTCATTGTAACTTTAGTAGGATTTAGGAACAGGAATTTTCATGACGCAAATCTAATTTGCGGGTTAAGAATTGCGCTTCCATACCTTTTCCCTTCATCCACCTTTTCCCAACCACTCCTAGATCAACTTCGTCGAGCAGCGTGAGTTTCTTGTATACGCTACACAGCACTACAAACGCTACATTAGCCCTTCTTTGAGCAAATTGAGCAGCCAATTCGAGCTGCGAGTCGACACTGAGATCTCTAGGCAACGAGGCGCTTCATATTAACTCATACCCACTTCCCAACCTTACAAGGTGTACAGTAAGTCTTTTATGGTTCTGTGCAGATATTAGTGATGAATAACTTTGATAGGAAAACCACCCATCATGTTGACATCCTCTTGGTCGGATGTGTCTGCGCCCGATACACCCTCATCTTCCTCGAGCGGTTTCGTTCAGGTTTTAACTTCTTCCATGGATCGATCTGTTATTGCACTCTCCGACCATAATTACGACAATCCAGCGGAATATCATGCCGACATTTCTAGCAATGACCAACCGTTTTTTATGTGTTCTCTGGCCTGGACCGCCATGATTTGGGTCCTCCTAACACCCCTGAGCACTCTTCTGGCAACGAGGAGTCTCCACGTACCCAACAACGCTAACATGTGAATCCATCGCTAGAATCACAATTTCCTGTGACCCTTACCCGACTCTCATCTGTTGGAAAGGAATCTGCCTCTCAGCAACCGACCGTTCCAGAACAATCTCCGGCTCCGGCCAATGGACAGCTTGTGAAGCAGCAGACAATTACTACCAACTGTCAGATGGCCGCTGAGTAAGTTGCTGGGAATTACGATGTAGGTAATATCTCATCGCTTGTCTCACACATTCTGCGCAAGGACACGCTCTCTCTTTCGGGGAGTGTGTTGTAGTGGCTTGGTAGTGAACCGGTCGAAACATGCCCTATCGACTCTACAATATTCAGCCATATTGCTCCCGCTGTCTCGGTTGTTGGAGCTCATGATGCAAGCCCAAATTTCTAATCCGATACTCATTTGACTATTGGCAAAGCATCTTCTGTAACACAGACATCAGATGGTGGAGCAGTTCTTGCCCAGGAAACTGTTGGTGAAGACCATGTTAACGAGGATCCTGTCGGTGAAGGAGATCAAGCAATCGATAGCCCTGCTAATCGAGAGGCCCAAACTTTGGCGACGATTGCCACCAAACATGAATCCAAGCATCCAAACCTCCAACTCGTGGAGGCCTTGGTCCTTCTAGCGTTATGTACGCCACAGTTTGCACAGCTCGTTCTTTCAGCGGCAACAAAATCACCCCTCAGCCTCTTCGCGGGACCACAATCAACTGTGGGTCCCATTCTTCAGTAGCTTCTTCCAATGTCAAGATCGGGGATTTCCGATCACTATCCGGAAACATCAAGTTCAGTATGGGAATATTTTCATGACATTTTCCATTTCCGTCTCTGAACCTGAGCTGCTGCTGCTTTAGCCTGAGCTACGGGTGAGTAAGCTTAAGCCGCGGGTGAACATTCCTGAGCACCGCCTGAGCATGAGTCAAAGAGCTATTTTAGTATCCACAGGGGCTCGTTTTGGTACCCTTGATCCCGATTATACTTCCCTCGTCTTATCTCTAGGGCCGGGTCCAATTTTGGTGTTCCTAAGGATCCCTCCGGAACCTTTTTGGGATCTGTACTCGTTTACGAAGTGTATATGCACGTGATACATGTAAAGTTAAGTGGTTGTTGGGGTTTCAGGCTAGGGATCGTGTGTAACATATGTTTAAGGTAATAAGGACTGAAATGACTGCTGTTCTATAGTAGTAAGTAGCCTGTACTTATAGATGCCGCGAGCCCCCAAGCCCCCCAGATCACATGCTATGATACAGGCTTGACTTCCTATTCAGCTGAACTTATTTAGCTGTATTGGCCATTCCAGTGGCAAGCATATAGAGCCTAGTACCGTGTAATTCCCAGATCTACAGGGCTCCTTCAGGCCTTGCTCAGCTGTAGCTTCAGCGTGGCTACAATGACCAATTGCCACCAATGGTGGCCTTAGGCACCTAGTATTCCAATAACGTTGTTGGATTGACGATTCCAGCCAATTGGATCAGTGGTATCATCAATACGCGCAATAGGATATTAAGTAGTTATAAGTAGGACTTAATGGAAGGTTATTAAGTATACTGTTCACTATATAGAATAATCTACGAGGGTAATCAAGCCACATATAGGGGCTATAAGTGCGACGTGTCTTAAACGCACCAGTGGTACTACTTGTGCCTAAGGTCACTGGGCCAAAGTCCAACATGATGGAGGGGGAATATATATCACGTGACGGTGCCCAGTGCCCCTCCCGATCAAATTGAAGCCTGTAGTAGAGAATTTTGCTTTGATAACGTAGAGCATTTCGTTATGAGTAAAATTAAATACGCCCTGACCTGCACGCAGAAATGCCGTAACGGTCTGCAGGAAAATACAAGTACAAGCTTGCAACAAATGAAGCAATTCAAGAACAGATTGTTGCAGCAAACTAGCCGTACCAGCATCCTCTATGATCCCCCTCTGCTTCAGACTCATTGCAATGCTCGCACCGGGGCACGTCAGCACCAAAGAATGCCGACGATAGAGGACCTGGTTCTGGTGCTCTCTGGGCTCTGTAAAGCAGAAGGTCAGCAATTTGAATGACCTCAGGTGGAGGGAACCCTCTTACGGGACGTATGTTGATGCCATTGCTCCCTGGCCTACTCCAATTGAGGATGTCTGCAACCACATATGCTGATGGTGGCGCGCTCCATGTGTGGGCCCTTTAGGGTCCGTGTGGCGAAGTAGTGGATTATTGACAACGATTCGAGGTGCAGGCCGAGATGGCAGGGATGCGGGTACAGGACGTGGACGGGGGTGTGGATGGAGAGGCGGGTTCCATTCTTCTGGTTCAGCCTCTTTCCACTTGCCTATTGCGTATCTCAATTGGCCTTCCCTACAGCAGATGAGCTTTGCTTCCAGCTATAGGTTGGGATTAAATGAACACATACCCAACCCAATACTGCTGCATATAACAAAGCCATTTGTGTACCTCAGGAATTTTCATCCCTTCGATGCAAAGCTGGTGCTTGATTTCACCCTTTTTGGATTGGAGATAAGCGTCGTCAGAGAGAGGCTGCATATGAGGCATGGGATTCATGGTGAAGGGGCGTACTTGGTATGAATGAAGCGAGCGAAGAGGAAAGAAAAAGAATTGCGTCCTTGGAAATGAAATATGAATGATCATTGTGAGTTGGACAGCTTTATGTGTTGTGAAATCAATCTTCAGATGTGCCCGTGCTTCTCAGCATTTGAAAACTCAGACTTGAAATGTGACAGTGTATCGTTTCAATACAGGAGGAACATTCCGTTCTCATTTCCAGAGAAATACCAACGATGCTTGAATATTGAACTTCTGTATTCTAAAGACTTAAAAATTGACTTTTCTCTCACCTTCTGTAGTGAACGAAGAGGGGCGACGAGGAGAAAAAAGTCCTTATCCGTTCCGCTGCACCTTGCTACTAGGCGCGATCACAGCACAAGGATGGAATCATTTGGTCATTGGCCGGCGAATGCTGCTCGAATCGGCAACATAAAACGGCCGACCTCGGCCCAGCACGGGTCTTTTGATACATGAGACGAGTCGCTCATATGAATCCTAGAAAAGGCGTACAAACTGGGCGTGAGGGCGTCAGGGATCATCCCTGCAGCCACCTGAACTACATTATGCGTGCTTTCCTATTTACTCTCAACTTACTGTACGTGGTAGAAAGCATCACCCACCAACCGCCCAAACCCCCTTCCCGCTCAACTTGGATTTTGGAGACCTTAACGCTACAAAATCGAAAAATTAATGCAATAATCGCAATGTTTCGAGTATTCTCTATAATCTAGTTTTTTTATTAGAATTTTCCGAAGTCTTTGAAAAATCGAGAAAATTTTGGTGCGGTAGGCGTGGGCGGGAAGGGGGTTTGGGCGGTTGGTGGGTGATCCTGGTGATCCCTTCTAAGTCAAGCCCAACCTTTGGATCGCCCAGACAAGACGAAACGTTGTATGTTCGCAGAATGAGGCTCTATGTGCGGAGCAAGTTCTCACTTGAGGGGACTCTCCACCTCAAAGGCATTTTAATGAGCAGTTCATAAGACGTTCGGATTATCCTATCAGTACATCGGTATCCCGCCGATCGCGTACAAATATAGAATATCCTATCCGCTGCGCGGGTGTTGGGTCGGCCGTATCAACGTTTTTTCCCGGAGGAACACCAAAACTCCGAGTCTTTATTTACTTATAAACAACCCTGTTATATCATCAATTACACCACAACCACGATGCCTGAAGACAATTTGTATGATTCTACCTGTAAAGGGACCATTCGACCTAGTAAAGATCTAATATGGAAGCAGGGGGACAAGTTCAAGCCTATGCAATTGCCCAATTAGTGTGACGGTTCCAATGTCACGCGTCATTTGGTCGCCTGATATAGACAAGCCCTGAACAGGCCCTGAACCCCGCCGGCCTGCGTCCCGAAACCTTAGCGCTTGCGCTCATGTATATATTACCACTGTCGTCCTTCGTTCTCTCACCTTCTCTCCTTCTGTGACGGGCATAAGCCAGGCACCTGACATGGTCACATGCAGGGTTTTCTGCCCTGCAAGCCCATTTGAGGAGCGCGCACAGAAACCCAAGCAAAGCGCTAAGAAGATTAAAAAGGGCCCTGGAGGCATATTGAGAACAGTAACGATCAGTTTAGTTTTTAGAGTTGATCAATTGAACCATCATTTGTGGACCCATCGTACTCTCGGTGCATGCCCATCGTACCCCCGTCGCCTAGCCTATTGTTTGCATGGCACCCTGCCATTTGAGTCCTCACACGTGATGCCTAGATCTCCTAGAAATGTGTGTTGTACAAAGGATCTAAAGCTAAAGAGAGAAGAAGAGAGGAGATGGAATAGGGGACCGATGGCCCTTATATATAGAAATGCAAGCGCCATGGGCACTTAGGTTTTAGGAATAGGCGTTTAGGGCAATCACTCGCAAACTGTCAATGGCCTTTGGCATGTAATTTGCACGCCATTTTAGGGACGCCATAGCGAGGCGTGTAACTTGTCAGATGACGGGTGAATCGTCACAATAAGTTGATTACATGCAGTCCACCATACGCACTCCCACATGCCTCTATTGTAGCCCGTGATTGCTTGTGCCGTTACACCAGTCTCTAAATAAGGCTCTAATAATCAGATATTGTTATTAAGGTGGAATTCAGATAAGGAAAGCTAAACTCGATAATAGGAGATATATATCCCCGTTACAGAGGAAAGAAGCAAAAGCTAATTTTAGATTAAGGAGGGTAAATATTTAGGATCCCTAGCTAAGGGAACGAGAGGATTTTTGGGGCCCCTCGTTAAAAGTTGGTGATTTCTAGTTAGTGTGTGAATAGGGTGAGCAAGCCTGAGCAAAGGCGGCGCTGCTCACGTTAAACATCAGGTTGGGAAGTGCAAACATTCCCGACGTGTAACATGCGAATCGGCTATCACTATAGACGGCACCGTCTCGGTCCCTGTCCCAGCCCTCTTCTCACATGAACGTCCATGTTTAGAGAACTCTTACTGCCAGCACGACAATTTCTCTGAGCTCACGAGACTCAACGCTACGGGTATGAACGCTACGAGAACTAACGCTCTATGGATTGATTCCGAGAGGAACTGCGCTATATGAACATGGACTCTTTTTCCCGGCTCTCACGTGGTACTCTTCCGAGTACTTTTCTTCTCTTCTGAGTAGGCGATACTTCATCAACATCCACATAACTGACCGACTAACCCCACTACACAGCGTGTCACTACCTTCATAATCCTACGTCGGACTACCTCATAATTGCGTTGCTTTACACTGCCGTCGCAGTATTAATTATTCTTTCTACGTCACTGGTTGTTAGGGTTCTCTTCGCAGTACCATTTTGGGGGTTGAGGGTGATGGTTGTACCCGATTGGTGGTGGTTCAGACTCTGCCAGACCACCAGGCTTTGGGGTCTAATGAGTCACGGTATCCTGGGTGCGGGAAATTTGGAGTTTTGGCGCATTGGCGCTTTTGATTTCGATGGACATTACGTGATGACATCAAAATAGGCCTATTGCATGTTGACTCACAGCACTAACGATACTTGTCTAAACCGCATGCTGATTTGTGACCATTGCGAGTTGTAGCCGACTAATCTGCAAGCACTGCTCTCCTGCGCCGCGAATTGACAACGCCTATTTAGATTGAGTAAGGTTTAAATCTGAAAAGCAGACAAGTCACAGGGCTGACAGAAAAGTGTTAGTAGAACGAGTTCTGAAAATGCGGCATCTCGCCAAATTCTCCTCACATCTGGGGAAACCCATGCATCGAGAATCCGAGATCCATTGCCAAGAATGGCTTCTTAGCCACAACATTCAGCCCTAAGATCTTTCGGAGGTGACTACGCGGTGTGGTCGATTTTGACCAGGTATTTACCTGTTTCTCAGGACGTCAAAAAGCTTATGAGGTGCGAACCCGAAACTAGCGTTCCCAGCTGAACCTTTGCCAAGGTTGTGGCTCAACCTAGCACTTCTAAGTGGAATGCTCAGTAGCCGATCTGCAAGCCTTCGGTGGTGATAATGAAGCAACTAAAAGAATGGAAAGTCACCCTCTCTGGGCTTGGTTGTTGAGGCACATCGCCCCACTCCTCGGGTTGGTGATCCAGATTTCCCCGCATTACTAAAAACTTATCTGATGAGGTCTTACCTTGGGTCGGAAAGTTCCAGGAACCATTTCGCCCTGAAAATACCTATTTTCCTTCTCCCCTTTATAGTTCCCAAATCATTCTTCCCATTTCCTCCTTCTAGAGGAAAAATGCATTAACAATTCAGGTACCTTATTTATTGACTTTAGGTGAACTAAACTGAATACCATAAAATCCGAAGTCTTTATACGGAAGACTTCAAAAAAACGGGAAAGGAAGGCAGAGAAAGCGAAAAAAGAGTTGTTCGATGATTCGCCAAAAGCTTGCCCTTAATTCAGGTGGCATGGTTGTTAGTTCCCCTTTCGACTGCTCTAGAGCTCCCCGCATTTCGAACACCTTGAGATATCTTTCCGTGTGTCTTGCCAAGCTTCGTTATCTACCACTCGATTTACACCACCAATCTTCCTCGCATATGCGCAATCAGACCACCGAAGCAAGCTTCAGGAGCTTGTTCCGAGCTGAATACAGTCAAATGGCTTCCTCAATTCCCTGCTTTTCCTTGAAGAAGCAGCCTTCACTTTCTCTGGACACCTTTTTAGCATCTCACCGTGAACAAATCCATCCCAAATGTTGTTCCAACTCGCTCCAGCAACAATCTGCGTTGCATTGGCGTCTCTCATCAACCCTCTTTGGGCCCACCCGCACAGCACCACCTATCGTATCACCGAAGGTCAGTCTATCCAGGCCGCCATTCACAATGCCAGTGGTGGAGACAAAATTATTGTCGAAAAAGGCACATATCGCGAGCAATTGACAATTTCTATCAATGGTCTTACTCTCGAAGGCCATGATGCGACGTTAAATGGTGCTGGCGCCTCCGACGTTACAAATACATGTACAGGCCTGGTAGGTGATGGACTCCAGGCTGGCATTTGCGTCGAAGGCTCTGAGATCGTGTTCTCAAATGATCCATTCAATGGCGAACACCGCAAAGTTATATCCGTTGGGCAGCCAGTCAAAGATACACACATCAGTGGATTCGCCGTAACGGGCTTCAATGGCCTCAACATTGCTGTTCTTGGTGCCAAGGATGCACACATACATGACAACAAAGTCAGTGCTGCACCGCAGTACGGTATCTTGACTGTCGGCTCAAAGAACAGCCACATCAGGCACAACACTGTCTTCAACACTCCAGACTACACAAACCAATTCATCGGCATTTGTATGGACGATATGAGCACGGTCACTATTTCACACAATGACATCGCCGATGTTTTCATCGGTTTGTGCGTGCAGACGTCAGGAGCGCATATCCACGATAACAATGTTCATAACACATGCGTTGGAGCATTCATCGACCCGGGTATCAATGGCGCAAAGCTTCACGACAACACCTTCAGCAATACTCCTTCCGCATGCCCTGCGACTATACCAAATCAGACACCGCCGTTTCCTCCGAGGTACTTCGCAGCCGGCGTTACAATATCTGGGGCAATAAACACTGAGGTGAAGAATAACAAATTCTTCGAGATCACCAATAGTGAAGCTCTCGCAGTCGGGGTGATTATCGTTGATGATCCAACAGGGGCGATTGCTTCAGGCAACGAGATTGAGAATAACACCTTTGAGAAAAACGATCTCGACGTATATGATATAGCGTCTGGAAAAGGGAATGAGGTCAAAAACAATGCATGCACGTCGTCAATCCCCGATCACCTTTGCTCTTAGTGGGACAGGACGATTCAAGGAAAGGTTGGGAAACTGCTTATGATATTTGAAAGATGCTAATGAAGTTGGAATACTTTTCAGTTCCTATTGTAATTGTTTTAAGAACCTGCTAAAACGAAGTGCCAGCTTTAAGCAATACATCTTTGAGCTGAAACTTTGCCATAATACTCTCCAGTGAAGTGCACTAAAGGGAACTGAGTAAACCTTATCCCAAATAATAAAGTCAAGGGCTAGTTGCGCTGGTGAGCCGCTGATATCACCCCCTGACAAGTTTTCTATTGCTGGTCAATGACTAATTTAACTGTTACTATCCCCCCCCCCCCCGCTCAAAGCTCATTTTTGCCACTGTCTCCTTCCACGTCTCACCCCACTAAAGGCACGAAATTGAGGCTTCACCGCTTTCCAGTTCAATTGAAGCTATTCCTACTTTCTTCTCTATTTTACAGTCTGTACGTAGCTTAGTACTTTGTAGGCCCACCGTGAGTTTCCTTTATAGCCTCATAGCGTCTCCACTAGCTATTATATAAGCCCTGAATATGCTTGTCTGGTACTGCGTCCTACATATCTTGTATAATCTTACGAAGTTGATCTAAGTGGATCTTGTCTGGCTCGTATCATACGTACCAGTAGTGCTCCTCAATCCAATTCCACATATATTTAATGAGATTCAAGTCCGGTAAGTACCGAGGAGCTTGAATTATAGGGATATAGCGAAGGAGCAGGTTTAGCTTCGTCTCGTACGAGCGGTGGGAAGAAGTATTGTCTTGCCAGAATTTATACCGGCTAAGTGGGTGGTTACGGAAGAACTGCTCCATTATTGAGAGGATCCTCTTATCGTATTGCGTGGAATTAATCGACCCCCACTTCTTCTCCTAAAAGGGAGAAAGCCCCTTCTTCCCTTTAACGATATCCCAGAATATCCATAGAGGGAGCTTAGAGTACTTGTGCCTTATGTATTCTGGAAGGAGACGATCGCTTCTATCTTGCAAGCAAGTAATATTGGCTAAAGTGTATGCTCTGCTAAAGGCCCATACTTCGTCTGTAAAGCAGATACTTTATATATGTAAATATGGCCACGTGCTTCTGTTCTCTGCTAAGTCTAGCCTCTTCTGACATATAGTAGGATCGTCTGAAACCCCTTTCTTTCTTAATACCCGGTAATAGTAGCCAATATCTTAAATAGCTGTCCGGATAGCCTGCTCCTTAGCGTGGAGCTATAGAAGGTGGTGAGAGATCTTGTGGTACGCTACGTGGCAGTGGGAAGGAGAGGAAAGTAGTAATACCTTAAGGGTTGTTTTCTCAGGTATGTAAAGCTTGATTATATAGCAAGCCTTTTGTGGCGTAAGACAGTGATTCCTAGCGTACTTAATCTAGAAGTCTGTAATGTCTAGCCTCTCTTTGATTTCTGCGTGAGGTATACGGAAGAGAAGGGCTATTTGAATCCGGAGCCGCTTATTACGTAAAGTCTCAGGGGCACAAATATAGCGGTAATTAGTCCCCCGAGAGAGCTCTTGAGAGGAGTCTGCTTGGGAATCTGGGATAAAGAGAGGAGGAGAAGGCTGTGATTCGTTGATTTGAGGCCTAGGGCCATTGCGAGAGTCCCATGACTGCATAGTCTTTTGAGAGTCAGGGAGAGAGAGAGGAGAGCGAGGCTGAGCAGGCGGTGGAGTCTCTACGTCATAAAGGTTACCGTAATCAGGCGGTGGCGTAGTGAAGCGTGAGTCTTGAGAATCCATTGAAAATTGAAGATATAAGCAAGTAAAGTGTGGCCAGTGGAAGCTGTGTTTTCCGCCATACTTATGGTGCAGCTAGCAGGCGAGCCGGAAGCTTCCACCTGCTCTGATTGGCTGAAAATTGGGTGAGGCGTGGTGTGAGTGAAGCGTGAGAGTGTGGGCAGACAGTGGCAAAAGGAGCTTTGAGCCCGGGGAGGGGATAGTAGTACTTTTCAATTGACCAAGCGTCATTGGACATTCAGTTAATCGAGAGGAAATTGGTCCCAAACCTTCGGGAACGGGTGAAGTTCCGAAAGTGTTTGAGATAGTTAGTAGTGGGGCTATGTGTTCGCATGCCGGTCTCGTAATGCAGTTTGAGATGTTTGCAGCTAATGAACAACCACCTTTACTAATACTCGCCCACTGAAACCCTTCACAGCACACAAATACCTTGAATGAGAAACAAAACAATAATTATGGTGGGAAGGATCAGCAAGACCCGACCACCAGAGTGTGTCAAATTCGGGCGGTTGGAAGCCTTCACTCTCTCATTATCGAAGGTTGGGTAGCCCCTTAATACAAGTACAAGCCCACAAAATCCACTAGCCCCCCAGCCCCCTGGCTGCCTCAAGCACCAGAAGCTTGGCACCTTTCAACAGAGTGCAGGTAGTTCGGTAACTGCCTCGTAGTGTACAAGCTTTGCGTGAACATCTTTTGCTTTGAAGCTCACCTTCAACAACGATATCCCTTTCCATTGGTTGAACAGCTGATTCACCCGTGACCTTATTGTCTCAATTATTTCTTTTAATACGATGACCCATGCAGGGAGAGTTCATGCTATACTATCGCTAGTCAAAGCCTTGACTTCGGCAGCTCATAGAACGTGGTAAATAGGCTGGTCCCGAGCCACCTGCAACCTTTCCACTTCCCCACTATAACCCATACCTTTTGTTCTACTCAATCGCAAACGGGAAAGAAAGTTTTCTGTACCTGTTCATTCCGCGCTACAGTCGGTCCGATCCAAAAGCGACAAAAAAAAAAAAAAAAACCACCACAATACTAATTGATATAAATCGTATTAATTAAAACTATACTATATACTCTAGGAATTAATTCTATGTTCTCAAAATTATAATATCTTTATTATTAAGGGAGATATAATTCACGTGATTAAGCGAGCAAATATATTCGCGTTTTGTATGGTCGTTTTTTTACTTTGGTTGTCACGTGACTACCCCCCTAAGTTAACTGCTTTTCCACGATTATATTAATACCTCAATAACCACAAACCCAATCAAGTGCCCTTTTTGAATACTTCCAATAGCTACCTCTATGAGCCTTCAGAAACGCAAGCGAGCTAATTCAATTCTTGATTCAATCACAGTTCTCACCATAGCTAAAGAAGCTGCAATCCAAGTAACTATCGACGAATGGCATGGGAAACCCTCTAATATAGAGGATAATTCTGATAATTCTGATATTTCACAAAGTAATGAAGTAGAGCTTGAAGATTCAATGCTCTTTTGGGTTCAGCAGAAGCTTTTTATTAGTGGTAATAAGACGATTATTTTGGAGAAGCCTATATTTGCAAGCGAGATCAGAGACTTGTAGAACAGACTAGTAAGTTTCTTATCTCAAGTAAGGCTTATGGATTTAGTTTGGCCAAAATTAGCTTGAATCCCATATAATTATGGCCCTACTATATATATAATACGTATAGTACCAGAGAAAGCTATATTTAATATTTAGGAAGGTTTTTCTAAGCTTATAGGGCTTAAATATTAATATTATATTAATAATAAGGCTGGTGAGATGCTGCGATCTTCCCTTGAAGTACGGGCTCACGTGACCTTAGCGAGCAAATATATTCGCGTTTTGTATGGTGAAAAATCAAAAAAGTAAAAAGGGTCCGTGCACTTTAAACCTCGATTATTAATAAACCACAAATCGTATCAAAAATCTGATTAATAGGTATTTTTCGCCTGGTTCTACTCTATAATCGCATTACTTAGTATTAATTAATTGGGGTTGTGGTTGAAAAGTTATTATGGGCGTAAAAGAGCGACCGTTTTGTCGCTTTTGGATCGGACCGACTGTACTACTGTAAGGCCAACGTGATTTCCCCCTTCCCACAGAAAAATTCTGACCCCATCTCACCTCCATCCTACCTTCAGCATCTGCCAGGTAGAACTCGCCCTTTGAATAGATAGAAGATCGTCGATATTGACCCCAACATTTTAGTTTCTTGAAGCTAACAAGAAATTGACAGTCATAGACACACCATACTGTCACCATGTCAGTCAACTGGTCTGCAACTTTAACCTCCGACGCCATTCCAGTTTACACCCCTGGTACCTCCAATTCCGGCTGGTCGGGCTCGATTTACAATGGTCAACACGTTGCAGTTAACAACTCTTCAGCCGACGTGTCTTCTTCGAACCTACAAAAATCTACTCCAACCCGTACCCACCACTCTAACTACAACGGTCCCGATATCACTCTGGCGATCTTTCGTTTGCGAGTTTACTACCTTGCCAAGACAAATGACCATCAGCACGTTCACCTTGAAGGACTATCCGATGGATTGGCCCAGCGCCGTAAAGAAATTGATTTTCCCCCAAGTGGTTGAATACACCCAAGGGTATCTATCGAAGCTATCAGCGAGGAAGAAAACGGTGCCGCCAAGCTTCTGCTTATTATTTTTTGGTCTGGCATCATGAAAGACGAGAACTTGGCGATTATTCTATTTTCTGGACCTTCCTTGAGCATTCCTCCCATGATAAACTCTTCAAGTTCCTTGGCGCCCCTGGGCAATATCTTGGTTGGGTCCAGAATGCAAAGCTGAGAAATAATGGCTGTTTGCAGGGAACCATCTCAGAGGAAGGGCAGAAGTTCTTCAAGGTGGCCAATCGAGGGAAATTCTCCTGGCTTTCAGATAACGGATAGATACGAGCTTGCCAAGTATGTTATGGGAGAGCTTCCAATCATGAAGCTAGAGTTCATTTAAGCGCAACTCTGGTTTATACACCCTCGCGAAGATAATTTCGGTAAAGAGAGATGAGCTATGGTCTTTGGTAGATGAAGCTAACTTCCTTACACAGACCAGTGAACTGACGTTTGCATTTGACTGCAAGGTGATTCTTTCCTTCTAAATAAGGGTTTAGGCTGTTGCATAGTATCCGTGGATTTTTTTGGTATTGGGAAGTTTTACGATGGGAAATGGCAGGCACTTAGATGGCAATAAACTGCATTCGGCAGCCGCGGCTGCAGCAACCGGGATTAGGTGGTCTTCCTATTGGGAAAGTTAGAGTTGGAGATCATGTGCGGAGAGGCTGGTTATTTCATTCTATCAAATAGTACAGAATGAAGAGTCTACATAATTCTTTGAAACTTCCTTCTGGTGCTTGTGTGATTCTGAACATATCCCAAGTCTTGAGCTTCCTTTTGCGCATTAATATCTACATTTTAATTCCCCATTGTCTAACCTTTGCTAAACATGAAAAGGTGCAATTTTTACCGTGGTTTAATCCCAGAACCATCAAGTCCATTAGAGTGCTTGACCGCTCATTTATAATTCGATCTACTTCAAGGGAAGATCTGTGGTCCTTAGGCTCAATCCTTTCCACGAATTAGAGGTGAGGCAGAAATAACAGTTTGAAGTGAATTTACCTCGAGCCTATTTCTGCCCCGACAGTGTAATTCCTTCCAACTTCCCACCTACGAGACTCCTCATTTCCCCTTCCACCGGACCACCTCCAACAGCACCACAACCACAACCCTCATTCATCAAGAGAATAACCAACACCTTTTACCCAGGGAACCGCACGTATTCGCAAGCAGGACATACCGCGCATTCTTCGACCGATCGTCTATTCTGTTACTTGCGTAAGTACAACTCAACGACCCAGCCTCGCTTTTCCCTATCTTACTGCATTTCATCCCTCCCCGAAAGATAATCCTAACTATTTTGTTAAAGGCTAATTTATCTAAGCCATAGAACCAACATGTCCGAATGGTCAATTCTGTCCGGAGATTCTTCTGAACGAGGCAGCGTCAGCTCAGAGTCGGATAGCGGCTTTGTACTCGAGAGCCTGACTCCAATGCCGAAGGCTACTAGAAGAAACAACCGCAATACCAATGCCACCTGGTTTGGAAGCCAAGCCGCAGCTGATACTCCTTCTGAAGGTGACGCGACAGGTCGGGATCCTTCACCCAATCTCCACAACATCAACGAAACCAAGCCAAATATTGCCTCGCAATGCCAGACCATTCCGAAGAGTACATCCCAGGTAGATCAAGTAACGGCAAACTCTGTCACACGAGATAAGACCTCAGCACCTGCTCCCAGGTTCATTGACGGTATCGACGTCTCGACGCTGCGACACTTTGTCCTCACAGTCACTGATCAACAACAAGATATGCCATCTAAGATATGGGCTACGATCGAACATGACTATCAGAGGCACGGTATCAGCTCAATGCTTCATACTGTCTTGTGGGCAAATATCTATCTCCTCGAGGACCGGGAGAATGGGTTCTGGAAGGAAGTTAAGAGAGTAGCCACAGCCAAAGTTCCAAAAGACCTGAACTGTGAGATACTTGTCAAGGGTGATACGGAGAAGGTCCGCAGAGTGTTCAGAAGTCTCAATCTTCTTGTTCACAACGGAAAGCACTTCTTCCACGGAGATAACTTCTACTTCTCGTTCAGGAACGGCGTTTTCCTTTGGCAATTTTACGGAGATGGACCTGATCTTCACAACTTCCTACTTGAGGAAGGTATCCCTACCGTCGAAAAAGCCTTCAACAGGATTTCCTCCACGGTGCCAACGCCATGGTATCCATAATTCTCGATCGTCGCTTTGGCAAGCAATGAAACTGGCTGCTAGATGGGAGGCGCATATGGCAGCAGTCTTGGGCAAAGCAGCGCCCTTGAGAGTGTGGCAAAATGGCGAGATAGGAATTGAGAGAGCTCCTTGGTTGAGATGATACATTTGGAGGAGATTTCTAGAGGATCAGAAAGACACGGATCTCGAAAGTTGCGAATTCTTGAGACAATCAATCTCTTGGGAAGCCGTGGCAATGGAGGTCATTTGGATCATTTGCTTGGATAGGCTCGGTTAGCTCGCTTGGCATTTCATTTCATTTTGGGCAGGCTCTTCTAGTTGGACGGATGAATTGGGAATGGAGCTTTTGGAGACTAATAAGCATTAGAGGAGCTTAATGAAAACTCTCTTACATAAATTGCACTTAATACCTTTTTTGGTACTTAAAGCATTGCTTTTTAGTAAAGAAAGAGGAGGGAGCCCAGAAAAAATCTCATTAGACTTTGATAAAAGGTTGCTCCCAGAAATGTCGCATTTCTAATTGTCCGGAAATTCATATTGGTTGGCTAGGAAGGGCACCAAAAGAATAATGTAGCATATTTTACTTCCCGATAAATCTGTATCCACTACAAAGGGAAGCTAAATTTCCTGGTATGAAATTCTAGCAAAAGAGTGCGGTAGGTGGACTGCACCTGCCACTCCTTTCTCCATGTTCCTTTTAATCTGCACGGTAATTGTGCTTACATCGCACAACTCCGTCATTTACCCTTTTTCACCATTCTTCGTGTGACAGAAACAGCGTGGCTTCATTACAAACCGGAAATTTCAAGCAAATTTGTAGATTATATTCTCCTTCCTCTCTACCTCGCGCTTCGCTGCCGGAAATTCAGAATCTGTACTATTTTCAATTGCTGCTGATGAATGGGGTTAGCAAAGAATGAACAATCATACTCTCGCACCATGTCTGAATGGTCCTTGATCTCCGAAAAGTTTTCGAAAGCCCACGATTCAACCTAGAGCAGATTAGAAGATGCTTCATGGTTGTGCACAACGGCTCAACCATTTCTGCAACTTTCGACCTTGCAGAATCATGTGTCCGGGGCAAGGAATGGCTTGGAACGCAGCTTGAAGATGGTGCTATATCCAAATCGAGTCTTAAGGATGTTGCTAGTACTTTGACGCCTTCGAAAGAGAAGGATGACATCTCCGACCATCCGAACAATGGTGTCCCTTTCAGCCCTGCAGTATCTCAACAGCCTGTATCGACTCGCAACACGACGCCGGAAGCCTTGATTCCCGAGATAAATATATACACCCTCAAACTCTCCGAACTATCCAAAACACCCAGCTTGAGCAATCCGGGTCATTTCTGTGTCTTGAAACACCCTTCCACTCGGTACTTAGCAGTTGTCGGCAGAGGCACCCGCTCCATTCTCTCTGGTATTTTCATCAGCATTTGAACGAGCCCTGAAGAATCACGGCAACAATGGAATGTTGCATGTAATATAATGGGCAAACGCCTTCAGCATCTCGAAAGGACAAGAAGAGTTCTGGAAGGATGTGGAAGAGGCTGCCTTGAGGAGACTACCCAATCAAATGCTTTGGTACTGGTGACTGGTTTCATGAGATCAATTAAGAGCAGAGCTGGACCACGATTGGCGAAGAAATATGATCTCGAAGATTTCTTTAGTGTACATTCGTTCTACTTCACTGTCAGGCAGAATACCGGTTTTTCGTGGATTTCGTGGGAGGAGGCAGAGAGTTTCAAAATTGGTAAGAATGCTAATTCGAGTGGTCCCGGTCCTGGGCAGATTGGGGCAAATGAGCCAACATATTCTCATGTTCATATTTTACAAGAGATCACGGTATTGTGAGCCTCCAGTAGTAATCCGGGACTGGGGAACTTTGTTTGCAAAAAGAAGGCTGGGACAGTAGATCAGTACTAGGGCCTAAATGAAGAAATCCTCCTGGCAAAGAATAATTTGACCTGCGAGTTGTGGTTATTTCAAGTTGGAAATGGTGGGTTTCTTGCTTTGAGCTTGAATATCTGGGATTCTACGGAGCTCGGATTTGGGTATCACCTCGAGGAGCAGCGGGAGAGCCTTCTATACCACCACCTCCAGTCCCATTTCTCCTCACTTGTCAAGGAGCTCCAAGGCCGGCAAGTCCCAATTACACGGCTCCATTCTCCCTCTTTCTCTGAATGCCCGTTATTCATTCGTACCTTAAACTCGATTTCAATGACTTTCTCCTCCGGCCACGCAGCGTGAAACCAATTCACTTGCTGGTTCGGCCAAAGAATCCAAGTGTGCTCTCCTAGAACCCTCGATTGGACATCATATCCCCTCGCACCGTACACCTTGTCCCACGTAACGTTGGCTCCGTGTGCGTCGGCAACAGCTCTAAAGTTTGTCGGGATAGAAATTGGTCGTACCGGAAGATCCCGGGAGTCGGGGACAGCAAGTTCAGTGTTCCCCAGCTTGTATCCTTTGATCAAAGCGCGAGAGAAAGCGTGAGCAATCTGGTAATCGCCCAGAGTATTGGGATGAAGACCATCATAGCCAGCTGGGCATCCATCCGGCTCACAACTGTAGCTTTCCAGCATATGCACCAACTCAATAGGCGATATCTCCGTACTCCATTGGGGAATCGCTCCCGCAAGCAACTTGTTGTACGCATCAGTCCTCACTTCGAGGTCACCATTCTGTGGTGCCCGATGTGGGACATTGCCGATTGCAAATTTGATGTTTGGCTTTGCAGCACGAGCCAGAGCCACGAATCTCTCCATATTTGCCAACACGCCACTTCCATCACCAGTTATACCCCAGAGCATGTCGTTGAAGCCTAGAAGTACTAGAAGGTATTCTGGATTGTACCTCTCCACCATGGCAGAGATAAAGTCGACATCCTCCCATAGAGCGCGTCCTACAGCTGTGAAATGTCGGGGGTTGAGTGCGAATTCGGGATCAATATCAATAGCGTAGCCCTATCATGGCAACTCTTTCTGTCAGCCTTGGTCTGGCAGTGTGGTGAGCTTATTGGAACTGCCATAAGAGAGAACACCCCAGATACCTCAAGGGTCTTTAAAGCTCCGCGATACTAAGTAGGAGATTTGGGGATCTGACTTACAGCGGTCGTGATTGCGCCCCCAGTTGGCGGTAGACCCAGTGGTTCTGGTATAATCTTGTCCCCAATTGTAGATGGTACCGCCTGGGGACGAGTACCCATGAAAGGCCCAACAAAGTCCACGGTGACATCCTGACTCTTGAACCATTCCCACAGTCGGTATCTCCAGGTCCAGTCTCCTTCTCCTCCTTGTGAAATGGAATCTCCGACAATCATAATGCTTATGGCTCCCGGACGTAATTCGATGTCTTTTGGGGCCTTGGGGTAGGATTTGACGACCGATGACTTTAGGCGTAACGAGAGGGAAGAAGGGATGGTATTTGCTGTGACGGTCACCCTCAGCACAACAATCATGGTCACGAAGAATGCAGTCTTCATGACGATAGAACGCCACCTCAATGGCCTCGACCTCATCATTTTTGCCAAGTGTTGATAGGTAAAAGGCGGGCATGGAATCATCGTTCTCTATCCTCGTCTCGACTCCGCAGGTTTTGTGATGAAAATACTTCTCGGAATTTGATCGCAGGATAGAGCAAAGATGGAAAAACAATGGTCATCTATCTAAAAAGCGCTCAAGAAACACCAAAGGTATCCGCAAGATTGAACTGCTCCATGATGGTTGTGACACCAAGAAGAATCGAGCGCAGGATGCAGCAGCCTCAGAATACGACCTTTAATTTAGAAGGAAACCGGTAGCGCTCAGATTCCGGGGCCCTACTGCAACTTGTAAGCTTGCTGCCTGACTTTCTGCTCCCCCCACTTTTCTATTCGCTGGCTCGGGTATCCCTCATGAAGATCTTCGGAATCGAAGCTTTCGCGTCATTTCCAGTTGTCCATTAAGACGCCACAATAACATGGGATACGGATTTGGGCGAATTGGGACTAATACCGAATGCTAAGCTTTGGTTTATCATCCCGAATTGGGTAGGGCCTACAATTTCTTCCGCATTCAAGCTTCGCCGCCACGGCGGGGCACAAGGTTATTTTAATACAGGGCTGATCTCGACCGCTTTAAGTAGGGGTCTCACAGGGAGTTACAAGCGAAAGGAGTTGAGAACCCGACACGCGCTGTTCCCCCCCGTTCGTCAATACGAGCGATTGATTAATCGCCCCCTCCCATTGATCAATCGGACGCTACGATTGGTCAATCGGGGCTAATTACGATTCGGGCTCCACAGTGGGTCCCGATTAATTAATCAATGTCCCGATTAATCAATTGCATAATATTGGGGTTTCGGGGCTAATGGGGCTAAGGGAGCTAAAAGCTTTTACTTACTAGTCCATACTAAATATATCCTTAATTCTATGTTCTTCACTTCGCTTAAGCCTTACTCTTTATACTATAATATAGATTTCTAATATTTAATACTAAATATATCCTCAAGTCTAATTTTCTTATTTCGCTTATATCTTACTTATTTATACTATACCTATAGTATTATATAGTTTATTTAATTTTTTTCTAGATATTAAGGGAAGTAATAATAGAAGTAAAGATACTTCTCTAGAGCTTCTAGATATATATAGGGCCTTTACTCCCTTATTTTCTAGATATAGTTCACACTACAAGTACCACAAGCACTAATTTACCAAGTATAACCACTGATTTTTATACCTCTTAATTAATTAATTACCTTATTTCTAATATGTCTCTTTTAACCCTTCGTTTATCCCTAATCCCGTATATGCCTCGTTAGCGTATTTATGGGCGAGCAGAGTAATATTTTAATATTACTACTCCAGGAGCTCGTTCGTCTGGTATCCAGTTTTTGCCCTCCCCAATTACTAAAGAGCCTACTAATAATTAGTCTGCTAAAGACAAAGCTATACGGGATTAGAGGCTTGCTAAGGAGGGTAGTAGGAAAATTCTTACTACTAGGAAACATATGGATATTAGATAGTGGCTTTAAAATCCTAATACTCCGCTTCCTAGTAGAACTAAGGCAGAGAAGTACTACCAGGCTAATATTAAGTACGAATCCCACTTATACGAGCTTTAGGATAATCAAGTATATTATAAGAAGTACTATAATACTTGCCATAATAAGATCCTTCTAGCCCGGTATACTCTTTACTATAATAATGCCTTTGAGATTTTAACTACTATTTATAAGAAATTAATATATACAGGTAAGTATTTCCTTAAAGCTACTAATTTTTATACTAATTATATAATAGCTTCTAATACTATATTTAAGTATATAAGACGACTTTGGCATAGCCTATCCCGTAATAATTATACTTAGATAAGTACCTATTATACTTATTATAATAAGGAGAAGGCTTAAAAGAATAATATAGAAATAATACCTATTTAATCTTATTATCCTGGCCAGCGTATGGTTCTGGATTTAATAGATTTCCGTATAAGTATTCCCTAAGTTATGTGATTTACCTCTATTTTAGCCTTTCCTATATTTCCTATATTTCCTGCATTTTTGAGCTTTTCCTATAATTTTCGCGATTTTTGCGAAAATCATAAAAATCGTAATTTTTATTTATACTACTTACTAATATTATTATAGCATAATCCGGATAAAGAATATATATAGATCTAGTAATTAAAATGCCATTTTTCCAAGTTCGTTTAGATCCATAGGCTTAAGACTAAGACTACGGACAAAGCTATAGACAAGCTTATTAAATAGCTAAATAATAATAGGTATATTGCCATTCTAGCCTATAATAATAGAAGCGAGTTTAAGGGGAAAATAATTAAGGTTTACAAGAAGAGAGAGATAAAGATTATTTATAAACGAGCTTATTATCCCTAATCTCAGGGCTCTATTAAGATTACTAATTAAATCTTCAAGAAATGACTACAGGCCATACGAGTAGATACTAGTATCTAATCTTGGATATAATTACTTCCTTTAATTATATAGGTAATTAATACTACGGCTATATCTGCCCTTCCTAAGGGTAATACGCCATACGAGGTCTGGTTTAGATAAAAGCCACCTACTAATTTCCTAAATTATAAGGAGAGTACTTACTATATATATATAGCCTTAGAAGAAAGGGAAATTAATATTAATAAGAGTAGTACTTCTAAATAATTATCTACTATTAAGGTTTAAGGAGAAGAAAAGAATAGAGAGAATAGCTTATTCGTTAATAAGGAAGCAGAACAGGAGGAAGTAATAGAGGAGATAATTTTGTCTGAACTAACTAAGAAGGTTACGGAGCATATAAAGAAATAGTAAGAGAAGATAGTAAAGAGGGCTAGTACTAAAGCTCTTGAATATAATATTCAGGAGATTATAACCCTATAGATCCCAAAGCAATATCGATTTAGTATAGAAATAGCTCGGATTCTAGTAAGAGTTCTGGAAAAGACTTTAAAGATATATAACTTATAAGAATATACTTTTGGCTAAAGCTAATTAAAAACAGGGCTACCGGTTAACTACTAAGTATAGTGAGCTTATAACCCTCTGGCCGCATAATACTCTCAATAAAGTTGCTTTATAATTAACTTATCCTGATTTGCCTATTACTAGTACGGCCCACAAGAAAGACAAAATTACCCTCCCCAAAGCAGTAGCAAAGGAGAATAATCGGGGTTCAATTTCGTTAGTTTAGAAGGCTAGAAGGGTATCTGAGAGAGCAAAGAAGAGAGTAGCTATTAAGTAAGCACGTGAGGATGGAGCTAGAGAAGGGGAATTAGGTAAACAAGTGGGTGTGAGGGTACCAAAAAGGGCTAGGGTAGCTATGAAAGCACCTAGACGAAGTGGAAGGCATATATAATAAAGCTTGGTTTGGGCGAAGTATACTAATATATACTACTTTTGCCATTCCCGAAACCTCAATATTACCCGATTAGGCAATCAGGGTCCCGATTGATTAATCGGGACCCACTGTGGAGCCCGAATCGTAATCCCCCCCCCATTGATTAATCGGGCGCTACGATTGATCAATCGGGAGGGCGATTGATCAATCGCTCGTATTGACGAACGGGGGGCATCAGCGCCTCCGCTTAGTCGTGATGCACACCCGCCAAATTTGTCAGCGAGTCAAGCCTGAAAATCAACCCCCCGATTAATTTCTTTAATAGCCAGCACAGATAAGTCCCTTAAGAAGTAATATCAAATAATGCGCAGTCTATAGGATTATGCTCTATAAAATTGTAAAAATTCAATTGTCATTGTCATTGAAGTTATTATAGAAAACGTTGATTTCCGACACAGATTTTGGTGTATCACGACTAATCGGAGGCGCGTGCCCGACTACGAAACAAAGGCAAAGGATTAACCAAATTTGATAGCCTCGAGATAGCTTAACGATATCTTATGCCTCGATCAAAATTCTCAGCATAAAAGCCTGCAAAAAAAGTAGTATAAAGGTAAGTGCGCCCCTGCTGTTGCTATTTTGACATTCGTACGACTATTTTGCAAGTGATGACTATAGATCTAAATGATGTCAATGTCATGTCTCACTTTTGTCACCTCTTTCACCAGTAATTTTATTCATATTCAGAGAGAAAAACGAAAAAGAGGTGGCTTACAAAGTGGCCAATGCCTGCGATCTCTTCTGCAGACACAGGGTTTGGTGGAGTTGACTGGTAGCGATGTTGCGTGCATTTCGCACTGCTTCTTCGAGCTGCTTTACGTTTTGCTTGAATTTGACCCCCAGCTACGTCGCTGCGTTGCTTGGACAAAAGTTCCAGTCTTCGCAGAATTCTGAAGTTTCCAAGATGAAATTGCTCAATCTCACAGTAAAGTCCAGTCTTCGTTCAAAGGAGCAGCAACTATTATAGGCCTCCTTAGCGACGACTCCCTTGTAAGTACAGGGGAGAAGACCTAAAAAGGTGTGGCAGCCCTTGTCGAAGGCGCATAGGCTACTTCTAGGGGAACGACCTGGAAATATAGGGCCTTATAGCGAGTTTAATGCCTTGATCTGTACACTAGAGGGTCTAAAAGTCTCCTAATGCCCAGTATTCCCGATACTTTATGCCGCGATCTCCGTACAAATCATACACCCAGCCCCACGCGCAGTTTCCCATTTACCTCAAGAAAGTCCAGTGCTTGCGTTCCAAGACACAGCAATTGATCAGATTGCTTTGGAATTCAGGCGAGGAGTGTGAGGGACTCGGATGACGAATACTACTTCACGTCAAAACGATAAACTGAAAGCAAATCAGGTGACATATCTAAGGTAGGGATGCTTGCCTTACCATCGAAGGTAGAGTAAGAAATAGGATCGTGGAAGCATTATCGCATCTGATATTTGTTGGAAAGTTGGCTTAGGATACGACATGAACCAAGGTTTGATTTCGGAGCATTCATGGCCTCGATAACGCGTGAAACTAAGAAATAAGTTAGACGGAAGTTACCTTTGGAGGGTGAAAACATAACTGTAACTGTAACCCCCCTGGTCCCGTCTACATTACTTTTGCATCGAATTTTGGTTGTTTTGGACGCCGGCTTGTGTCAGCAACTAATGTTCGAGAACGAGTAGGCACTATTTACCTGGTAATTAACCATGAAGATACATCGTGGGCAGCAATCTTAACAGTTTCCAGCCTTGTTCCCTCAGGCTGATGTTTAAATCCCAAAATCTCCCATCGCGTGGTGTAGAAATCGTTGAATTGATTCGATTTCTGGGAATACCACTCGTAATACATATTTGAAAGACAAGATAGCCTTGTGGTAAGAATAAATCCAAGAAAAAGAAGGGTCGATGCGAGGAGAACATACGACGTACGTATAAACGTGGAGGCTGGTTGCAGCCTGTAAGCTGATCGTTACTTGGGGCTCATGCAGGACTCGCTGAAAGGGGAAATTCTTGGGGAATTCCCCGGCTAGCCTTGCGTAATACATTTCTATACACAAAGAATGTGAATTTAGAAAAGAGATTCTTAAAATTTCAAGTGTCTCAGAGCACGTAGGCCCCCCCTAGATGTCGATCTCAGGTGGTTCTGGGGCTTAGCCCCTGAGCTCATATCCACCCCTGTAAGCTCCCGGCAGCACCCAAAACTCAAGCTCTTTAGAGCATTCTTTGCGTACAATACCGAGAATATCATAGAATATTTTAGAGTACTGTACAACTCGAGAAGAAAGTGAGGAGATCCCATTAGTGGTTCAAGCGTAACGTGAGCGGACACTCTGGAGCACAAGCAAACGGGCGGAGGCTCGTTGTCTCCCTTCTCTTCTCTTGCCCAACTTCCACGCTAATGCACATCAACAACAGCCTTGGTCTTAACTCAAGGGTTGAAACCTTTGAGAGCTGGAGGCTGCTTTTACTAAAAGTCGTAATGCCACAACTCTTCCTCCTTCCTTTAGTATTCTCCTTCAGTACCTCTCAGTGACCGGCTAACACCTGTCAGTATCCGTTAAAGAGTGATATTCGTTAAATTGAAACTAATAGTACTTTGTTGGAAAGTAAGCAACCCCAATTTTATACAACAAAAGGCTCAGCTGAAAGGTCTCACAGAGGGGCCCCACACCCTCGAGTTACACAGTTGAAGAATTCCTTCAAGTAAATCTATATCCTTTCTAATTTAATAAATTCAGTTTGACATTGAACATGCCTGTGTGCAGTATTTTTGATATGCGTAATCGGCGGGAGAGAAACGACAACGGCTCAGCCTGCTAACAGGAGCAACCAACGCCAACTCAATTCTTGTTGGTTGGGAAAGAAGGACTCGATTGTTGGTCTAAGAGGAGATCTACAAGTCTATATATAGGGTCTGGTACCCTGGTCAAACAGGGTAAAATCAGGTAGTCTCTTGACTAGGCTCTCCATCACCATCCATCCTTAGCACTCACAACCCCCATCGCACTAATACAAACACAAGCCCCAAGAAGTAGCCCACCGACAAACCACACTACCCCTTCTAGCTTCCAACCTCCCTGTCCCTGCCCAAAATGATTCCCCAAACCGACTCTCTGGAGAATGTTTTGAGACTCGCTGGTGTAACTGGAGCAGAATTATTAGCATTTAACACGAAAGATAATGACCCGATAAACTATTATGTGGCCTTGAAAGACACCATATGCTTGATTAAACCCACCATGAGACATATTGCCAAGAAGCTCAACACTAGAATTTGTTTCTGCTAAGTTACCAGTCAAAGTTCAATGGAACCAGCTGAAGTACCTTTGTCGCGCGCCGCTACTCTCCCCAGTGCGATGTCACTAGAATTACCCGTTATGTTGGGGTACGGCTATAAGGTGGAAAAGGGTTTGCGCGGGGAAAACTTGTAAAATATGTTTAATAATTCGCTCCTGACTGTGCGTGAAACTCTCGGTCAGTGGATCCATACAGGCTGTAGGAATCAAGAAAAAAATGGCGAAAGTCATAAAATGTATTGAGAGCACTGCATCGATCAACTGCCATCGGATCAGCGAATGAATAGTAAGCGAACATGAATGGGGATAACCTCAAAATATCTAAACGCGGACTGAGAGGGTGAAGAAAAGGAACAACTGGTCAAGTGCTCCATTCCAATCACACTTCACTTAGGGAATATCAACTTCTCTGTTGAACAAGAAGCAGAGGAACGAGTATTGTAAAGTCAACATATCACAAGATTCACGCCCCCTCGCGCTCCCCTGTTCGCCTCAGCCACCCCCTATCAACGATGTCATTGTCAATCAGCTTAGTCATTCAATCGCATTCCCTGATCCGCAACAACCCTTGCCACATTACATCATTGCAAGCCACACCAGCCACACCCCTCTCCAACCAAGAACTCTCTTTCTCTTTAAGAATATCCCCCATAATCCATTTTCGTATATCACAATCCTATTGTTAGTCCATTGGAAAGTAGTCAAGATGCCACTCTTCAAGCACAAAGAAAAGAACCGCCCCGATGTCACGAATCAGCATACGGTGACCGCCCCCCCAAATCAACCTCAACACCAGCATAACAATAGCTATCATGATTCAGCGTATTATTCGAACAGCAATGCGTCAACGATGGATTCGAGGGTGCAGCAACCTCAGCCTCAACCGCAACCTCAGCGGAATCAGAATCAGAATCACGAAGGACAGCGTCCAGGGACGACTGTCACCACTACAACTACCACAACAACGAGTAAGTATTTCCAAACATCCCACTCCAAGCAGCCAACCTCGATCGATTGCCGATTGACTGAATTCTACCCAGCTACTACGACTGTAGCCCCAGATGGCACAACCCAAACGTACTCCCATCCCTACAATCCATCGACCGATCCACCTCCTCAAGCCTCCGAAACGATTGTTGACCAGAAACTCCCTTCCAACCAAGGCATCGTCCCAGACACAAACCCAGACCCAAATTCAAGCACGCAACCCACGTCTAAGAAGACCTCTTGCGAGCGAGAACAAACCCAGCCAAACCCTACAATTACACAACAAGCTCCAACACCTAGCCACTCATACCGAGAAGCACCACCCCGCAAACCCACCCCTCAACAGCTCCAACAATCCCAGTTTGCTCCTCCTCCAGGAACAACACCAGTGCCGCCACAAAATACAGCAACGAGGACCGAAGCCGAGGTCCCCGCCATTCCACGAAGCCCTAGCACAACAGGCGGCCGACCCATCCCCCCTCGCTCCGAATTCCTCAATACCACGAACGCCCGAGGCACAAGTCCCTACCCAGCTTCAACACTCAGCCCAGACACGACAGGCATCCCGCCGCCTCCGGCCAGATCACCAAAGAGGAACTCGGGAGATGGAGTTGTAGCGCCATTGGGCACAAATAGACCTGCCGGAGAGGCGGGCGTTGTAGAATCCCCAGTATCTCCTACCGCGCCAGCTAGGTCTCATACTCTTAATTTCTCCCGTCCGGGTGCTGTTGCTGCAAGTCCGTCTTCCCCGACGAGAGCGAACTTGGGAACGACGACTTTGATTTCTGCGGATCCTCCAAGCCACCCTCATGGGAAGAGAGAGTCGTTGTTTGGGGCTATTAAGGGGTTGCATGGTGCAGGCGAAGCGTTGAGAGGTACGGTCAACGGGACGATTGCGAAAGCAAGTCATGATACTGTGGAAGAGGAGAGGATGAGAGCTATTAGGGAGAAGGGGATGGGTGAATGGAGGGGGAGCGGATTGAGTGAGAGGGCGGGAGGGCTGAGGGAGGGGTTTAGAGAGAAGGCAGGAGAGAGACAGAGGAATAGGAGGTTGAGTGTGGGCACGGGGGTACATGGAAGTGAGGGCCCGGGTGGTTTGGGGCCGGTTGAAGAGCTGGAAAGGTAGATTGATGGCTGTTGGGAAGTAGGTTGCGGGAGGAGAGCAATGGCGATGATGGATAATGAGATGGCGCAAGTATATATTGAGCGGTTTCTTGCAGTTCTGGGTGTGTTTGGGTATGAAGGTGGATAGGGTTGAAATGTCATCTTGCAAACACCCAACTTTTTGTCTGCCCCACAACAACACTCAGCGACTTTTCAGATTGCTCTAGGCCCTGAGCTCAGATAAAACATTAACAGTGGCCTTGTCAGAAAGCTCAATTGTCATTGAATGACTGGAACCTCCCTGGCAACCTCGGGAATGCACTCGCATCCACAACCCGCAGACCCTTACACCGCGGACTCTAAACTTCGAACCCAAAATCTTCCCCTTATCTCTGCCGCCCCCAATAGCACGAGTACTCGTAGCATGATGTGAATACACTAGCTTCTTAACAACGCCGCCGTCTCCGCATCGCTGCAATTCGCTTTACAAGGATGGCACTCCGTGAACGGACCACCAATTGCAGGAGACGCGTCCCTACGATGTTCCGTGCGAACTCGATAGCCTCCATCACAGCCTAGAGATCGTTATCACTAATTTACCCCTATCATACTCGGTAGCTTCAGAGTTCAGTCCTGCTACAACCGCGCCCAAGGCGAAGAACATCGCGAAGATGAGACGCTGCAACATTTCAAGAGCGAGAATCTATCAAGAGAATTCTGAGAGAATATCCCACCTGCAGCTGATTTCCCTTTCACATGAAAGGCTACAGCATCTATATTATATATTTCTGGCCTCACATTGGCGTCCATTCAGCCCCCCATCGGGCGAAAGCCTGCCACCCGGGATATTAAGGTAAATATTCGTGCAGGCTAGAGAAGGAACTTATATGAGAATCTTACATCATTCTCGTAATTAATAAGGTTTAGAAATGGGTTGAGGGTTCCTGGCTTGAGGCTCCATCAAGGTTTGTAGTGTATCGAGTGGTTTCACTATATAAGCTCCTTAGCCCCCGCATCGGCGTAATTGCCAATGCAAGCTTACATCAACTTGTACAAGGCGCAGAAATATCTCGGATATCGAATGGAGATGGGTATATTTGACGATATGCCGCATTTGAGACTGTGCATTCTATCAACTTTGGCAGCTGTCAGTCTCTGGAGATTGTCGGCAGCAATTAAGGCCTCAATTATGCTAGAGTTTTTCCTTAATTGAGTCAAAGAACGCTATATAGAATGCGAAAGCAGATCGTGCTGACGAATTTATCCAAATTTGGGATCAGAACGATAGTAACCCCCTTCCTTCAAGGCATATCATATGACACCTGGAGTGTTTGAGCTAGGGCATTGAACAAGTTGGGGACGTACGAAGTAGTTGAAGGAAGATAAGACACAATATGAGAGTTGAGAAAGTTTTAGTGGGTGAAGCAGGATCAGTCGAGACTATGAGACGAGATAACCTGGAACTAAAGTGTGAGTTGATGTTCCCGGATGTATTTGAAAATGCAATCTGAGATGATAGCATTGCGGAATACTTTTCTGCAATTGAATGGAAACATACGATGAGCTGAACTTGGACAGAGGGTGCATCTTGGTAGAAGGTGGACGGTCGAGTAAGCGAGGCACAAACTAGTCATTCTCTCTCCAATGAACACCTCAGCGAACAATCCAAGCGATGATTTCCAAAACATCGAAATATGCCCGGGACAATAAAACAAACTACCATGATCCAAGCCAAGTATCAAGGTGGATTCGCACTGGAATTGGGATTTAAAAGCACGGAAGGGACATGACAAAGGAAATAAATAATACGATTAGGAGAATACTTCGTAAATTTCTCGCCAATTCACCGCGACGACTTCCCCGGGTGCATAAAACCTCGACCCAACTTCCCATCCCAAGAACATGTTCTTGCTCTTCCAACCTCGACTTCGAGCTCGACGCCAAGATTCTGTAACACTTCTTGCAGCGTCCTGCACATCGACAGACAGACAGATCCACTCACCTTCCACACCTTCTCGATTCCTGCCATGCAACATGATGGATGACGACAGGGGCAGAAAGTGCACCTCCTCCAGGCCGCACGAATATTGCGGTCCCCATTCCAGCTCTCGGCGTACCTCTCGGCGTATTCGTCTCCCTCACATGCCTCGTTCTCCTCAAATTCCATGTCCGCCATACAGCAGTACATCCGTATCAACCCCACGATTCATGCCAAGAAACCCACCATTGCCCAGATCCGCCGAGGATTCAATGCTCCTGCGTCGTCCACATCAACGAGGACCATTCGGCAACGCCGAGGAAGAAAATGGATATCGTGGCCGCAGAATGATGGGCACCGCTGTTCAGGATGTTCCTCCTTTTGTCTCAAGAAACACCTCGAACATCCCTTCGTCGGGCACGGATAGGACGACGAGATCTCCAGACTTGGGCTATGTATCCTCGCAGATGAGCGCTGCAAGGAATGCAGAAGCTGGGAACAATCGCCGAAAAATGACGGCCGCAAACGCCCATCCAGTTCAAGCACATAGAGGCAGCCCTCCGTCCTCCAATTCCAGAAATTCTCCGTCCCGGAAATTTCCGCCTTCCAATTTATTCGGTCTTGAGGATACAACCCTTCCTCCTTTTGGAACAGCAACGCCCAGTCAGCCCTGGAATATTCCAGGCGTACGAGAAGTTGGACTCCTACCACCCTCCTCAATGTCCTCGAATCCATCGACCTTGACACTTGGTCCCTCGTCCCAATATTTTCAGTCAACTTCCAGCTCTCAGCGTTCCAGAACAGCGACCAACTCGGAAACTCCCAGAACACCTCAGACGTCCTTCGACGAGGCCATCTCCCGCCGCCGCACTTCCCGCGCCCTGACCCATCAAAGGACTAATGCTCCCTTCGATGGAACTCCCCTCACAGAGCTTGACAACCCACTCAATGGCTCGGTGCTAAAATCTCCGTTCATACCCTGTTTCAATAACGGTCCGGACTCCAGTATCGCCTGCCGCGTCCAGACTCAATCTTCGATTGACGAGCGGGAAAGCCGGGAACAGATGTTCCCGTTTCTGGCTGAGAATGGGGAAATGACAGGATGGCCTACTCAGCAATCAATCAGCCCAGCCTTGCAGTATGAGTTCCAAGTTTCCATGGAGGGACCCGACAGACGTGCGGAAGAATCATATAACCGGCCAGTCAAGATGTCCCTTGATTCCACGCAAAGTCGTCAAGATTTATCGTCGCCCCGTAGACAATTTTCGGTGAAGGAGGAAGGCTTCCGCGGATCCATGGATGGGTTCGACAATGATGTTGATGTTGAAGAGATCTCTGTCCCACAGTTCTGCTGGTTCCAAGGTCTCGCTCACGGCTCGCCTCGCCAAAGAGCTTCAGTGGCTCGAGAACAATACCTCGTTCCTTCATTCAACCGAACTCAATCCGAGGCATCAAGCTGCACGCTCCGCAGCTCAACACCCACACCTGATCCCGAATCTCAGCCGTTGGACGGCCCAGTAGAGTTGGTAGAATGGGCGCCGAGCCAGAAGCACGAGCAGGTTATGGCGATGTACGAAGAGGCTTGGGACAATGAAAGCACTGCCGGCACCAGTCCCGCAACTTCGAGAAAGCGCAAGTCTGAGGCTTTGGACCTCTCGAGCGACCAGGGACATTTAGTTGAGGAGAAAGAGATTGCAGAAACTCATAGTCCGAAAAGACGCCGAATATCCTTGCCCAACCACTGGGTTGACCAAATCCCGGAAACGCCGACTCCCAGCCAAAACCGTGCCCGCGCCTCTGTCCCTAGTTCCGATGTTGATGACTCCGATATCTCAGATGCCAGTCCTGCCATTCGATCAAGGAAACTCGGTACAATAAACACCTACTCGTCTAGGAAGTTCTCATTGAGTGAGTTCCGTGAGCCGCCACAGCTGCCAGAAAAGCCCCTCTCTACTATTCTCCAGGCCCGATACGGACATTCAACGACTAGCACCCTAACTCGATCTATCCAGACTTCTCTGGAACAATCGATAAGCTCAACCCAGTTCTCAGATGAGCGGTTCCAGAAAGCTTTCAATGTAGCGTTCGACAACTGGATGTCCCAGCATGGCAAGAACATTGCCCAAAGAGTAATCGAGAATGCTGCCCAGGAGATGATAGATGAGCGAATGGTGAAGGTGGATGTCCAGGAGGAAGTGAAGAGAGAAAAGAGATATGAAGAAGTGACATTGGTTGAGGATAGCCAGGGGTACACTGATGATGATGAGTTGTAGGTGGTTGTGGGGAAGAGGTTGGGACAGAGGTGTGTAGGGCGCGCTTGCGCGAAGGTGTTTAGGATGTCGGGGTGCCTCCAGGAGAGAGACAACATCGGATTTGCACATAGGCAACGAGAAAAGACTGTCATGTAAGAGATCTCCTGACTGATGTGACTCCAAAAAACATACCGGCTATTATCCCTATAACATCCAGACTCCAAAAGCAATAGAGGATATCTCACCAAAGAAACATAGGAGTCACCGTCTCCTAACAATCCCCACCCCACCCCCTCTGCGCAGAAAACCCTTCCGCAACCCTTAGCCCCTGCCCAATCAACCCTAAAGCTCCATCTGCAAACGCATTCCCCGTCCTCGGAATCTCTGGCGTCCTGCCAACTGCCTCTCCCCTAGCATCCGCTCTTTCCGTGGCCTCCCTATACTCCTCATCCAAACATGCCCCATCCTTATTAACCATTCTCGCCAGTGCAGCCCTCTTGATTGCGGATTCCCACCGATGGAACCAAGCTACTTCACTCATCACGGTCGGCTTCCTGTTGGGATTTGTATTCGGAGGACAGTCTGCGTATTGGAATATTCCTTTGACAACTTCGTACCGGGAGGTGAGGAAGAACAGGACGGGCCAGGCGAAAATCCATAGGAACGTTAGGTAGAAGATCCATCTGATCCACACTGTCATGCGCCATTGATTTATCGTTCCTGGGGAGTAGATTACAACTCGTTCATGTTGCTTGAGAAACTCGATGGAGACTTGTCCGCGGTAATTCGTCTCTGCAATCGCGGAACGGAGTAAATGCTCTAGTTTCTTCGTGTCGTGATGTTGGATTTCTCGTTTGAGAGTGAAGGATTTTATTTTCGAGGGATCGGAGACATATTTCTTGCACCATGTTGATAATTCATCTTCTCCGATTTCTTCGTCGAGGGAGATGCCTTTGCTGGGTGGGAGGCGGGGGATTATGGTTCCACGGTATCCACGTTTGTTGTCGGGGAGGAACTCAATGGATCCTGAACCCCAGGGGCCAAGGAGATAGGTGAGATTTATTCTGATGTAGAAGTCGGTGATATTGTCTTTCGTCTCTTTGTTTCCATTTCGTCGGGTTTCGGTATGTGTGCCGCAGAGTTGCACGAAGTAGGAGGCGGGGTATTGCAGCTGTTGCTTGATGAAGATTGAGAGTGTGGAGACTTCGGTAGAGTAGTTGAGGAAGCGCGTGCGGTATTCGCTGTAATTGAGGTCGTGAGAGGAGAAGGGAGGTTCCGGTGGTTGTCTGCGGGGTTAGCTGGGTGATGTGTGCGGAGAGGGGGCGTACTCGTAGAATTGGCTGGCACTCAGAGAGATACTAGGTGTGGCCGATGTATGTGATTCTGCTGGTGTGTCGGTGTAGGATGGGAGTTCTTCGTCGGGGAAAGAATCGACGTCGTCGAGGAGGACTGCGGAGGCCATCGAAGCTGTCTCGGCATGATCGGGCTCGTCTCTGTAGGCAGGAGGGCCTCGGGAATGGGCAGTTGCTTTGCCCATTATGAGTGATGCGTGTTGACCGGCAGATCACAGTCTTTTTTGTTGACACTAATGGGGGAGTAAAAGTTGGGGAAGGAAGAAGATGGTTCCAAGAGATGTGTTGACTGATCAGCGTTGTGTCAATTGGGGCGTGCGCCGCATTCGAGGCGCAGCTGTTGGCTGAAACCTAGGCTTGGCAGACCCTCAAACATCCTTCCAGACTAGAGTGAGGCGCCGCCTCGTGTTCGTTCTGGGATCGTATCCAAACTTCGCATTTAAAGCCTTCCAGAGTTTTCAATCAGAAAATCTTGGGATAGATATGAAGAAGTGTATCCGTTTTTGCACAATCGGCTACCAGGAGTATTCGTCACGTGACACACCCGCCACTCACTCATTTTAATTGCAATTATCTCAATAACTAAAACCGTGTAATTAATTAGCCATATATATATAGTGGAGATCGTAGCTCAATATTTGGTTAATATACCCTTGTTTTTTATTATTATATCTAGCTAATATAGTATAAAATAATTAAAAGTAAATAAGCTCTTAAATATAGTTTAATATTATACTCTTAATATTCTTTATCTCTTTTATATTTTTTGGTTTCTATTCTTTATATATAATCCGGCCTTTAATTTGCTTTTTTAATTTCCTAATTAGATAAAATCTAATATAATAGAAATTTAGTTATTATATAAATTTGAATTATATATTATTTATATCTTTTATAAGTTATAAACAAGTATAAGTATATATAATTATTGGTTTACTAGCAGTGTGGGCAAAAACTACTCAAGCTACTCAAGCTACTCTAGAGTAGTCTTGAGTAGAGTAGAGTAGAGTTTGAGTAGCATAATATGGTACTTGAGTAGAGTAGAGTAGAGTACTACTCTAGAGTAACTCAAGAGTAGTCACGTGCAAGTCACGTAAATATAATAAATTAATATTTATTTAATTATTAACAAATAAATAAGGTATATATTAAGCAGCACCATATAATTTAAGCTAGAGCTTATATAAGGCTACTTAAATACTACTTTTCTTCTATAAAAACCAGATTTCCCTCCTTGAAATCTTTCTTTTCTTGCTTTTTTTCTTCTCCTTTTACTTCTTCTAATTCGTCTTTAAATAACCCCCAGCTTTTTAAGTAAGATATTATCTTAATAGTACTCTTATTAAGTCTATTATGTAATTTAAATAATAAGAGTACCTTGAAAGAAGAGTTTGCCCTTAATAGCTAAGGAAGCCTACGGAGGTACAGCCCATAAGTATAGTAATAGCACTAGCAAGGGTTTCTTGCACACGTACATTTTTGAATGTCGCTTTGCCAAAATGAGTAAACAAAACAAGCCAAACGAGGGATTCAATACCCGATCAAGTCAAGTCTTTCACCCGCCTAAGGGTTCCCTTGCTAGTGCTATTACTATACTTATGGGCTGTACCTCCGTAAGAATATATTAAGGTTCTAGCTTGCTTACCAAGCCTTGCCACTACTTGATTGGGCAGTGCAGTGGCGCTAGACTCGGGCCACCCCGGAGCCTTACCTAATTAGGCTAGCGTGTCACGTGTAGCATCACGTGTAGCATCACGTGCATACTACTCAACTACTCTAGAATATTCTAGAGTAGTTGAGTAGAGTATTGAGTAGAGTATGAGTAGTGAGAAATTTATTTGAGTAGAATATAAGTAGGGCCCACTACTCTACTCTACTCTACTCATTTCCCACACTGTTTACTAGTAATATATAGCACTGTTATATAGTTATGGAATACTATTTACATAAGTTAGTAAAGTTATTATTATTCAGAAATAAGAATTATAGTATTATAGTATTAATATATAATTCCTGAATCTGCTAAGCCTAAAGGAGTCTAGTTTACTAGTCGAGTTACTAATGGGATACAAGGTTATATAACTATATCTCATATCTTATATCCTATTACCTATATCTCATTACCTATATCCCATATCCCGTATCCCGTAACTATATATATAATTCCCAAAAAAATAGCTATACTAATACTAGAAACTTTCTAAAAACGCAAAAAATAGTATCTTTCTTTAATTACATACAAATTCCCTAATCCGGCCTAGTACTAGATTTCCCAAATACTCTATATATTTATATTACTTCTAAGGTTTTAGTTATATACTAAAGGCTATAGCCTTTTATATATAACTTCTCTTCCTATAATATTCTCTTATCTTATATATCTATTTTTTGTTCTATTTATATTTAACTTATTTCTCTATATTTATTTATATAGTATTTATATTAATTAGGTGCTTAAGGATATTTATTAGTTTCAATTTCGTTATAGAATTAGTAGAATTTAATTCTCTCTTAATTTATTTAACTTCTATAATCTCTTGTTATTTATATACCTAGTAGAGATATATTATATTAATTATTAGATGCTTTTCTCGAGTAATTCCTAATTTAATAAGGTATTTATATAATAACTTCGAATTCATATAGACTATTAGTAATAGTTCTATTTCTAGTACTTTATTAATTATAGATTTAACTAAAGTACTTATATTAAAGCCATAAGCTATACTATAAAGTTCCGAAGCTAGAATACTTCTAGTAACTCTCTTGTATTTAGTAGAGAACTAGTAAATAATATTAGTATATCTAGTTCCGTTTACTAGAACTAGAATATATCTGATTTAGGAAAAGAGATTTCTATTATTTATAAATAAAGTATTTATAAAAGTAATTAAATATAAGAACTTCTTTACTAGCTTTATAAATCTTAGTTCTCTAGTAGTATTCTTAATTTACTATTAAATATACTTATTAAATGCCTTTATATTAGTTTATAAGGATTTAATAACTTAAGTAATAATTAATAAGTTATATAAAGCTTCTAGTTAATAGACTAATATAATATATATTTCTCTAGTATATTAGATAATATATTAGTTCTTAATAGAGAGATCTTAATAAATAGTACCCTTATTACTTATAATAATAGTATTTTTTATAGAAATAGTTTAGAGGTTTTTATATTAGTATTCCTATATAAGAATAATTTTAGTAATATCCGTATAAATAATATCTCTATTAAACTTGAAATTATAGTTAAAAGTAAGGTATTTATATTCTTTAGCTAAGAATTTAGTCTTATAAAGCTTTAGTTACTTTGCCTTTATAAAATTATTAGTTCTAATAAATAGGATATTATTAGTTTAAAGACTAATAATTCCAAAGAATTACTTACTATAGAAAAGGCAAGAGTTATAAATTAATTATTTTATAGAAAGCTTATTAATATAATAGAAATAGTAAGTCTTAAACTAGTAGTTCCTAGCTTCTAATATATTATATAATAGTTTTATAACTTTTAGAACCGAATTATTATTTAGATTTAGTTCTCTAGTAAGCTTATAAGATAAGTTAATATAAAAATTATAGTTAAATAAGGTTATTAATTAGATATAAGCTTATAAGATATTATATAAATATAGCTCTATAATATCTATTATTATAATAGTAATATTAAGGATAATTCTTTACCTAATATATTAAATAATAAGTAATTATATTAATACTATATATTTCTTACTATTATTATAAGCCTAGATAACTAGTCTTGATTTCTTAAACTTTCTTTTTATATTCTTATTTTTAATCTCATTAATAAACCGGGAATTAAAAATATATATCTTCTTTAATACCTGAAATCTGGAAATAACCTCAAATATATTCTTTTTTTAGGAGGCTAGTAACTTTAATTTAATAGGAGTTCTTATATAAGTTATTATTTTATAGAAATACTATAATATCCGGATTCTTATAAGGGCGTCCTTTATTATACTTTAGTAAAATAGCGGGAATAATAAGAGAAATTATACCTGTATTATCTTTAGTTTTATTATAAAGTTTAAGAATAGGTTTAGGTTTAGGGCTATTAGTAATAACCTTAATATCTCCTATATAAAAGAGCTTTATAGAGATTAAATAAAAAGTAATATTACCGTATAATAAAGCTAGTATATAGTTCTTCCTATTAATAGCTACTAGCTTATATAGTCTATCCTAATTACTAGATTAACCGGTATTCTTTTTATATTATATAAAAATATCTAAATTTAAGAGAATTTTATAAATATTAGTAATACTAGAACTATTTCGGGTATTTAGGGTATTTATAATCTAGTATCTAGCTTAAAGCTTCTAAATTTTTATTATTGCTTTCTTAAATACTACTAATTACTATAATATAGTTAGTAATAGGATATTATATTTAGTTATTTGAGATAAAGTACTATAAATTAAGAAAGTTAGAATAATACTATTAGATTTAATAAAATTATTAATAGCCTTAAAAGCTATTTGAAATATAATATTCTTATTAGTTCTATTAATTTTAGTTATAATAATAAAATAAGTATATTAAATCGGGTTATAGTAGTATTTTATAATTCCGATAGAATTATAAGCTTTTATAGAAACGATTTTAATCTTAGTTCCTATAGTATTTATAAACTAAATAAACTTCTTATTAGTAAACTGCTTTCTGGTATTTACTATAATCTAATTAAAAGAGCCTAAATAAATATTAATCTAATATTACTTTAGGGTATTTTAAGTATATAATATACTAATATTTTAAAGCTATTAGCCGGCTTAATATCTAGTACCTTTATTAATAATATAAAGTATAGGCTTACTAGAAATATAGAAAATATTAATAATAATAAAATAATTAAAGCTAATATTATTTCTTAGATTAAACTTAAATTATTCTAATAATTATTCGAATTTCTGGTATTACTTATAGTATTTTATAAAATACTTAAAGGCTTTTATATTAATATTATAGCCTGCTTATTTTAGTATATTTTAAAGCTTACTAATAAATAAATAACTAAAATAGTAATATAAATATTATAATTCGACTTTTATAAGAAAGTAAGAATTATAAATAAAGAATTCAGAAATAAAGCTTTATAGAATAGTATTTTAAAGCAGGAAAAAATATCTAAAATATTATATTATAAATATAAAATATCTAGTAAAAATAATAAAATAATTAGTAAGATTATTAAAATAGATTTCTAGCTTATCTATATTAGCTAAGCTAAGTAGAAATAGAGTCTTTATAGATATAATATAGAATTATACTTGCCTAATTAGTATTCTTACTATTATAAATCTAATAGAAAATATAGATCTAATATTAAACTAGATATTAATTTAATCTTTAGTAGTTTT